CTCCCCACTTCTGGTCTTACCCTCTTCCAGGCTCTGCTGAACACAGTGTCCAAGGGATCCTTTAAAAACTTATGGAGGGTATAGCAGGTCATCTGGCACATATTGCATACTTGTGTTCTGTCTTAAGAATTCTTTCTTGGTCTCCGTCTCTTAACGCTGGTCTTAATTCAGACCCTCGTTTCTCCCTGGCATTAACTGCTGTGCACTCCTAGCTGGTTCCCACTCTCACCCACTTTGAGCACATCCTTTGTGCCACACACTGCCTGGGACCTTAGCAGTTTTGCCCACTGCTTGTTCAAGGCCCTCAAAGTCTGTAGATGCACAGCTCCCAAAGCCTTCAAGTGAAATCCGGGCTCCTGACTGTGTACACAAGGGCCTTCCCCGTCCAGCCTCTGCCCAGGTCCAGCCTCCCCTTCCTCCTCCCTGCACTGCCCAGGCCCCCGCCCGCTGACTCCCTCTGCGTTATCAGATGTGAAGAGGCTCTCAGCGGCTGGGTAGCCGGTTCCTGTTCGGAGCTCAGCTCAGGTGCCATCTCCTTCAGCACGGCCACCTCCCACTGTAGGCGACTTCCACTCTGCTCCCGTGTAGCCTGGGCGTCTCTCCCTCAGAGCACTGGCCACGCTGGTGTTATTGTGGCTTGCGTGTTCCGTTGGAGTACCCTGAGGGGCCAGGCTCGCCTCTCTGACGTTCAGCTAGACTAGGTGTGCAGCCATTTCTTAAATGAACTGTGACTTCCAGTCAGGATGACAGCATAAACTCATGCTTTGACACATCTCTTCTCCAAACACACCAGTGAAAAGGTAAAATTTAAATAGAGAAACCAATAAACCAAAGAGTATGGCCAGGCCCCCAAAAGAGAGGAATACCCTCAGTACAGAAAGAGACTAGAAACCCATGTGGTAGGCATGAGGTGGCTCGATTTCCCGGCCTGCTGAGCTCCAGGCTCCACACAGACAGTGGCAGGGGGAACTTGGCTCCCGCAGGTGAGGGTCACAGGAACTGTATGTTTGGTAGAATCAGAACTAGATTCAGACTCACTTTTTGAAGCTGGGGTCAGATGAGGTTGCCCCCCAAGGGCACTGTCCCCTGTACATGGGGGCTTTATAGGAAGTAGCGGGCCTGGGGAGGGATGCCCTGCACTGCCTGGTGGCTCTTTAACAGGATTGGCACTGTCTGTAATGGAACCACGCAGCAGGAGCCCTGAGTCACCGGAACACCTAGCTCTGGCCTGAGGCCCTGGGAGGCTGGGAAGGGCATCCATGGGACAGTGAGAGGGAGGGGAGCACCGCCAACAAAACCTCCTAGTCAAGATGAGCCGAGCCCAGATCCCACATCAGGAAGAGACCTCATGCTGAGATGTCCTCCCAGAGCCGACTCCTTACAGAACTAGACATTTACTCCATTGGCAGTTTATGCAGTCCGGCAAGAACTGTCAAAGTAAGTGTGTTTAAGATGCTTAAAGAGATAAATTAACATCCATGGAAACAAACGAGATTATAAAACAAAAACAGAAATGAAACAAGAGCAGGAGCCAGGACAAAAAAACAATTTGAAATCAAGTAAATGAGAAGATATTAGCCAGAACTTTGGACCGGACATAATCAAAGACAGAATTAGTGAGCTGGCCGTTTCTTCCTGAGATTGACCCAGATTGCAGCACAAGGGGGACAAAATGATCAAAAATCCAAGGCCCTGCACTCGGGTGCGCCTGGAAGCAGCTCCCCTCTGACTTGACCGTCGTGGGAGTGATGACTGCCCCTCAGCCAGGCTGATGTGAGTCAGGGTCTCTTCCACCTGCAGCAACAGGATGTTTTCTGATACCAGATCTCGGTGATCACACGAAAGCCTCTCATCAGTGTGAGGCGTTAGATGTCTGACAGTCACCTACAGTTATTTACCAGACGAGTTGTAAATTGGGGTATTGGATGTAATTAATATTGGCACGTATGCAAGAAATCGCTGAAACATTAGAAAGAAGTGAACTTAATGGGAGAACATGGAAAGGAGACATCGTCCCCCCACCTCTTCCCAGCCAGGCAGCCCATTTCTGAACGCTGCCTGCTAGGTCTTAGGTCTCACATGTTTCAACTCTTGACAGAATCTTTGTCAGGTTTTAAGACACGTTTGTATTATTTCTATTAGTGTTACTGGATTTTCTTTGTGTTTGCAGGTCCACATTGAAATACTGAAGTGAAGAGTTGTCCATGTTCTTTAGCCAGTTGTATGTTCTCAGGAGCAGCCTTGTCTCCAAAGAGCACTGTGTGTGCATATAAATCATGATAAAATATGCATACCATTTTAACCAGTTGATTGATAGCTGGATGATTCCAGTGATGCAGCTTTAGACATGCCTCTGGTCAGCCTGGGTGACGGTGGCACTGGTAGGGCTCTCTCCCCCTCATTCCCTGACCACACCCACCTGTTAAACCCCACTAATTCCAGCCAATTGCTCTATTTTCAGCAGTGCTCTGCGGCATAAATTCCTCTACAAACTAATCCAATCAAATCCTGGCTCCTTTCTAGGAATTGTATCTGATATTTGCTCTGATCCCAGGAGGGTTCCTCCCAGCTGCCTTCATCTCCAGTTCTCTCCTGGAAACTAGCCAGCCTACAGTCTAGGCTGCATCTTCATTAAATCGCTCAGTCTCCTCCACGTTGCCTTTCACCATGACCTCCACTGTTCTTCAGAGCACCCGTAGGTTTAAACTTCGCCCATGGAGTCAGTTTCTTTGGGAAGAGATCAGGAGTTCTCTCTTTTACTGCCTGCTCCCCCCTCCCCTGCCCCCCAAGTCTCTGAACTAGGGGTGTGAATGATGGCAGGGTTCTGAGAGTGACACCCCTGCTCTAGGAGCTGAGCACTTGGTGGGGGCTGGGCAGCAACCTAGGGTCCTCTCCAGCCTTGGAACCACTGCCTCAGAGAGCAGGGGCTAGGATGATCAGGGCCCCAGTATTCTCAGCATGCTCCACCCAAGGGGTGAGCCTCTATTCCTTGAGTAGGGGTTGGGCAGAACCAGGGAGCCCCCACCTCTCCACCACACTTCCCCCTGCACCAGGGAGCTGGGGTCCAAGATGGGAAATGCTGCTGTCCTGCCCCTCCCAGGAAGAAGTCCTTCTGACTGAGTGCTGGAGGACAAGGGAGCCCTGTGTGTTTGTTGTGGGGGCTAGGGAGCCCTGTGTTCTGGGCTACAGCCTCTAGAAGGGAATCCCCACCTCCCTGAGCTTGGAGTGGGAAGAGGCAGAAGTTTCGGTTCACATACCGTAGACTCTTGCCTTTCTTACTGAGTCTTCATAGATTTTCTTGAATTGATGTTTCTTTATTTGTTGTTTGCCCTTAGGACCGTTTCAGAGGCTTTGACTGGTTGTTTTTTATATGTATAATTTTGACCGGTTTTCCTGGGGAACAGGTCAGTGGAGCTCCTCATGCCGTCAAGCTGGAAGTTGATCACCCACAGTCATAGATTCTTGAAGCAGAAATATTAGTTTAGAAGAGAAATTAGATAAACTCAAGTGAGCATTAGCTTACTGTATCCACAAAAATGTTCACAGGTGTCCTTTAAGAGCTCTGTAAATTATCTGCCTCCCCATTCCCTTCAATTTGTTCCCCCTGAAATAACAGCATTCAAGAAAAAATAAAGGTTTTAATTTGACTCTTTTCCCTTGTGGAATGTAACAATACTGCCTGCTTCTTCTCATCCCCCACGGATAAGTATTTCAGTTCTGCATTATGGCTCAAGTAGGCTTTTGTGGGCTAGCCTCATAAAGTCAAATTCTTTTTTTTTTTTTTTTTTTTTAAAGATTTATTTATTTATTTTCACCCCAAAGCCCCAGTAGATAGTTGTATGTCATAGTTGCACAGCTTTCTAGTTGCCGTATGTGGGACGCGGCCTCAGCATAGCCGGAGAAGCGGTGCGTTGGTGTGCGCCCGGGATCCGAACCCGGGCCGCCAGCATCAGAGAGCACGCACTTAACCGCTAAGCCACAGGGCCGGCCTAAGTCAAATTCTAATTTACCACAGATGGTAAAGCTGACCTTGAGTTGCAAATGATTAACTGATGAATGAACCTTGAGTATGCCACCTGTTTGTAAACTAATTTTCTAGAATTACCTAAATCAGGCACTTTTTGTATTTTGAATGCCAGCTTGATTATTCATTAGGTAACCTTTATCCCTTCTTTTGTTCAGTAAAGAGAAAAACTCTTAAAATGTGGAGGAACATTGGGGGTTGGCAGATAATTTTAATTGTTTCAGAGGAGTTTTGCTCCGTTGAAAAACTGGCAGGAGAATGTGAATCCTTTTCTTTCGACCCAGCTGATTACGTCGTGTTCGTGTGAGGGTGCTCAGTGTTGCAGTTGAAGAAGTAACTCACAGCAGGGGTACCTCTCTTCTCAGTGATGTCCTTGAGGAACTTTTCCACTCAGCTAAAGAAATAAGTCTTCTTAAACTTCCCCTTTCTACCAAAGGCTTACCGGCATTTGTGAAAAGTCCGTTTTCTGTAGTTGACCTTGAGCAAATTCTTCAGGTTAACCAGTGGGCCTTGGGGTACCATCAGCCTTTGTCCCGGGGATGCTCTTCCCCAGAGGAGAATCGGCTTAGACAGAGGAGGAGGCTGGGCGCAGAGCCGTGGCCTTCTAGGCCTTCTTTCTCTACTCTCTCCAGTGGTTCTAGGTCGCATGTCTGCGAGTCACTTAAAAATGTCTTTATCCTCTTGGTGTCAGGACCCATGTCCAGGAACATGTCGAGGGCTTCTCTGGATCTTGAGGAGGTGGGCTTGGATTTCCCTTCTTCTGCCATGCGCGTGCCAGGGTTCAGGGACGAGGGAGGGTGGGGTCTGAGTTATCGTGTCTGCGTGGTCCTGGGCTGGTGGCTTGACCGCTGTTTTCCTAGAGGCTCACAGAGGTCCGTTCTGTCCTCCGACTGGGGTTGCCTTTGCATGAGGACCTGAGAGGCTTGGTGGGTCTGTCTTGACAAGATCTCTCTCTTTATTCCCCCCTGTTTTCTAGGAGTTTGCAGCACTTACTAAAGAACTCAATGTATGCAGGGAACAGCTCCTTGAAAGGGAAGAAGAAATTGCTGAACTGAAAGCAGAGAGAAACAACACCAGGGTTAGTAGGTGGATCCTCGCTGTTGTCACTGTTGCCTCTGGGTCACTCTCAGAATGAGTGTGGCTGTCTTTAAACTCAAAAGACATCCCCTCCGTCTGGCTAAAACACATTGTGGACATTCTCCCACGACTTGACTGTGATGAATCTGTTCAGCGTCCTCATACTTTTCTTGAAGTTTGTGATGAGGATTAATATTTTAATACATTTGAGGGGGAATTTCTCTAACTGTAGACTGAATTGAAGGGATTCAGACTTATTTTAGCATGAGATTGAGAGAAGTTATTTGCCCCAAATTCAAATATGAAATTGAAGCTGTTCTTTAAACTTGTTTTGATTTTGGCCTTTTCTTCCAGCTGCTGTTAGAACACTTGGAATGCCTTGTCTCCAGGCACGAGCGGTCTCTCAGGATGACAGTGGTGAAGAGGCAGGCACAGTCCCCAGCAGGCGTATCCAGTGAAGTCGAAGTCCTTAAAGCACTGAAATCGTTATTTGAACACCACAAAGCTCTGGATGAGAAGGTACCATCAGCCGCCCGGCGATTCTCTATCTTTGCACTTGCTGTGTATCAGGCGGGCGTCGTGTCTGTGCAACTTGAGTTTACTTTAGTAGCTTCTTGGATTCTCATAAACAAGTGTTTTCTCTAAGAAAGGCACTGGATGGTTAAAAAGTATTAGTTGGCATAAATGTCATAAAATTTATTATATTCTGTTCATTGATTTGCTATTAAGAATTAGGTAATATAATTTATTTAGGGGGAAGATTTTTCTCAAACTTAAAATTTAAAGCTTTTAGCAAGCAAGTTTTCTTGACATTAACATCAATGAAAGACATTAAAGATCTTCTGTTATGTTATATTTTACTAATAATATATTAGGGTCACTATACATTGAGAATTAGAGGGCCGGCCCCGTGGCGTAGTGGTTGAGTGCGTGCACTCCACTGCCGGCGGCCCGGGTTCAGATCCCGGGTGCGCACTGATGCACCGCTTGTCAGGCCACGCTGTGGCGGCGTCCCACATAAAGTGGAGGAAGATGGGCACGGATGTTAGCCCAGGGCCAATCTTCCTCAGCAAAAAGAGGAGGATTGGCGTGGACGTTAGCTCAGGGCTGATCTTCCTCACAAAAAAAAAAAATAATAAGAATTAGATAAGTGTGTGTACACACCAACTCCGCCCCTTTTGTTTTCAGGTCAGAGAGCGATTGCGAGTAGCACTTGAAAGGTGTAGTTTGTTGGAAGAAGAATTAGGTTCTACACATAAAGAGGTGAGCTTGATAAACCAATTTTGTTATTGGAGTCAAGGGGTTTTAATTTTTATCTCAGAAGTTTCAAAAACGTGTGACGACTATATGGTGGATATCAGATGTTCCTTATCTTTCTGATTGGGAACCAGCCCATGTGGGTCATTGGATGACGGGTAAACTAGGCTTGTATTTCCGAGTTGCAAAATCTCTTAAGTACCCTGTTGTCCACTAGATGATAAATTCTGTTTTGAATAACCTGGTTATATTCAGGATGGATATCATCACCATGTATTTTCGTTTTATATTATGTTTACAGTTTATAGTTGTGTTTTTCCAAAAGAAGTTTACTCTCTCATTTCCTTACTTTTATTCCATTTTTTGATTTTAGCTAATGATTCTTAAAGAACAGAATAATCAGAAAAAAACACTAACAGATGGGGTGCTTGACATAAACCACGAACAAGACAGTACACCGAGCACGAATGGAAAGGCAAGTCAGTAGGCTCTCTCTTTGTCCTTCTCTAGTTTTGTCTGTGTGCAGGACCGTTTGGAAAACTGTTGCTAAAGCACCGCTTAGAGCTCAAGTGGTCGTGAGAGTTGTGTAATCCAACAGATTGCAGAAATCCACTCTGGTTTTACCTATTTTCCAGAAGTACTCTACTTCCTAGCTCAGCAAACAGGGCTATTGAAGTATTTCTTTCCTTCATCAGCGATCTTCTGATGGCTCTTTAAGCCACGAGGAAGACCTTGCTAAAGTCATGGAGCTCCAGGAAATCATAGAGAAGCAGTCGAAAGAGCAGAGCCAGATGAAGGAGCGCCTGGCTGCCCTCTCCAGTCACGTAACAGAGCTGGAGGAAGATCTGGACACTGCTAGGAAAGATCTCATCAAGTCTGAAGAAATGAACACAAAATTGCAGCGGGATGTCCGTGAGGTAAGTGGTGGTAGAAATTGCAGCATTGTCTGTGAGTCCAGTGTTTGGCCGTTTGGGTTTGATTGTTTGCTCATTTTGTCCCTCGCTCTCCCAGTTCCTCCAGCCTTTGGATTATTGTCTAAGTGATAGCAAAACAGAACAGTGCCGTGAGACTGTGTAGGCACCTCCGCACGTCTGTGGTCAGGTCTCCTTCCCCTGAGGTCTTTAGAGGTAGAGGACACCTGGTCCAGCCGGTCCTTTGGCGTGGCGGCAGCGGAATGGACACGCAGCCGGCCCTTCCCACGGTGCTGCGGTGTGATTGTGGTGCCCTGGAGTAGGTTCCTCGCGTCTACAGACTCTAGGCTGTCTGAATTTATTCTTTGTTATGCCCAGATTTCCTTCTGATACACACTTAAGCAAGTCAATGTTGATATCCGTGGTGCTGTTAGTGGGCTGAAAGGGACGTGAGCATGGTCTGGTGACTCGGTTAAAGGAGCGTTACTGGCAGTCTTCTCATTTTCTGACCTTCTACTCTGTGAAGGAATATATGATGGTGTTGAATATCGGTGGTCAGACACACAGTGAGAGTGGAATTTGCTCACGCTTGGGTCATCAGGATCGTGCTGTAACAATATGTGGAAATAGACTCATTTCTGGCAGACATTTCTGCACGTATTATTATTGATGAGAAACTGTCTAATCATCATTATAAAAGCAAGTGAGGGCTGGATACTATCTCTGGCGCCTCCTTCTATCACTTTAACGTGTCCTTTGTAAACAAACAAACAAAACAGACACACACACAGACCACTGTGAGACCATCTCAGAGAACCTCTCAGGACGACGCCTTCAGACCCTTTCATGTGTATGTAGAACAGGTTTACTTTCTGTTCAGTAGCTTAGTGTGAGCAATTGTATGTAAGAATTCAAAACAAAGAAAAATATTTGCACATATTATAGAACCTGTCTACTTATATTATTCTTTGGCAACAGGAGGAGATTATTTATGTGGCCGAGTTTATAGTTTGGTTTTTTTGTGTGTGTGTGAGGAAGATCAGCCCTGAGCTAACATCCATGCTAATCCTCCTCTTTTTGCTGAGGAAGACCGGCTCTGAGCTAACATCTATTGCCAATCCTCCTCCTTTTTTTCTTCCCCAAAGCCCCAGTAGATAGTTGTATGTCATAGTTGCACATCCTTCTAGTTGCTGTATGTGGGACGCGGCCTCAGCATGGCCGGAGAAGCGCTGCGTTGGTGCGCGCCCGGGATCCGAACCCGGGCCGCCAGTAGTGGAGCACACGCACTTAACCGCTAAGCCACGGGGCCGGCCCTGGCAGAGTTTAATATGCAGAGAATTTTGAAATTCTTGAAGACCTATCACTTTTAATATTAAGACTTTGCCAACATTAGTTACTTAGTAAACAAAGAGGGAACTAAAATGAATTTTTAGTTTGCAGGACAGGAATGGCACTGGCAGAAAGTCCTGGTCCTAGTTTCAGTGTTTGATACTATGTAATATGATTTTGCTGCAGAATTAGTCTTTAGAAGGTTGCATCCAATAAAATTAAACTTTTACGTCGGTTTCCATTTATTACTATTATTGCTTTAATTTTGTGGTAATTGGGTGAGATTTCATCCAATTTTTATCCAAGAAAATGAGACCTGTGTCTCACAATTATATCCATTGAGAGCTTCGCCCTGTCCTGTGTAGGCCCACTTGTATTATGAGGCCAACAGAAGTCGCATCTTCATTGTTGATACCTTTACCTCCTGGGATTCTTGCAATATTGGGATATTTTATTATACTTTTGTTTTGGTAATATTATATAGAAAAGGGTAAGCTCAGTAAACTGAGTGGCCGTAGTATTGACAGATGAGTGTTTGCTAATCATGTAGGTGAATATTTATATTTGAGGTACGTACATTTTCATTCACATTGGAGAAAATTGGCATCTCCATCAATTTAATTTTGAGCAGACTAATTTTATATTTGATTTGAAAATTAGAATTTAGTCCAGTTTTTTCTCTCTTGAGTGTATTAATGTGTTATATATGATGTACCTTTTTTCCCTCTGAAACACCTAATGTAGGCCATGGCCCAAAAGGAAGACATGGAAGAGAGAATCACTACTCTTGAGAAACGCTACCTCGCAGCACAGCGTGAAGCCACCTCTGTGCACGACCTCAACGATAAACTTGAAAATGAAATTGCAAATAAAGATTCTATGCATCGACAGGTAGTGGTTTTTATGGAACTCTTTCTGGCTTTTACTAAGTAGTTACTAATGAAGTTAAAGACCTTTTTCCTGTGGCTTCCATGTTGGAAATCAAATCCAAATGTAAAGGTTTTATGACCTTAGAATATTATGTTCAAAAGTGTGGGTTACTTCAATTTACCTGTTTTACTTAACTTAGGATTTGATTTAACCCTTTTATGGATCCGCACTCCTTGATTCTTGATTCTCCTGTTTTGTTTTAACAACGTTAATCTGTGGCTTGTTAGCATTTTTACTAACGAGCAGAGAGAGGCAAAGAACTTCAGGGCAGTGGCTGCTTGTTAGTAACTGGAATCAGTGTGATGAATGGCACATTTAGAGACACGGCCTGGAGGAAGACTTTGTACCTCCTGTGGTTTGGTAAGCCATACTTGCTCCTGTTTCTCTGGAGTCTCGGGTAATCAAGAGTGAAGCAGAAAAACCAAATCCGGCTTCTTGAAAATAAAGTGAGTTTTTCTGGTATGTTATGAAGTGTATCATTAAACCCAGAATAAAAAATAAAAAAATACTAGGAAGCTATTAAAAATTACATTGTGGGGGCCGGCCCCGTGGCGTAGCGGTTAAGTGCGCGCGCTCTGCTGCTGGCGGCCCGGGTTTGGATCCAGGGCGGGCACCCATGCACCGCTTGTCAGCCTAGGCTGAGGCCGCGTCCCACATAAAGTGGAGGAAGATGGGCACAGATGTTAGCCCAGGGCCGGTCTTCCTCAGCAAAAAGAGGAGGATTGGCATGGATGTTAGCTCAGGGCTAATCTTCCTCACACACACACAAAAAAATTATATTGTGGAATACTGTTTAAGAGCATGTAAGATGTTCACAGTAATGACTTTACGAGGCAGATCACAAAATACTGTGTACATACAGCGTGATGCATTTTCTGAGGGTTGTAAAGCATCATATATTGTATGTATATGTACATAGAGATATATGAGCACAGGAAAAAGAAGAAAGCTGCTTATGAGCAAATGTTAACCTCTCAGGAACCTGAACTTATGGATGATTTTTAAATTTTCTATTTTTAAAAAGTTCTTGTCTAAATTTTCTACATTGAAATTTTTTCAAGAGTTGGAGGATTTTTTAAAGGAATAATTATACATTTATAAAAATAACTTGACGAGCATTTCATTAGGCATACTCTTAGAAGGTCTGTATTTCAAAGAAAAGGAAAGCTGTATTTTGGCTTATATGCCCATGGTAGTCTGCTGTAAGTTACCTTCAAATAATGGATCTGATTATTTTTTAAGAAGGGTTAAAAATGAACTCTTCTGTCCTTAACTTGTTGATAAGAATGACCAAGCTTCTACAGAAAATGGGTTTTCTTTAATGTATAGGAAGTTTTATGTGTTTTTTTTTCTTTAAGAAAAAAGACTTCTTTACAGATATTTAGGAAAAGCAAATACTTTGGCAAGAGATGTTTTGCACCCTGAAATCAAGCCCAAGAAAGTGGGTGTGTACCCCTTGCAGAAAGAAAAGTTTACTCGGAAGCAGCTGCCAAAGCAGTAGAGCTTCCATCAGAACTAATTTGGTAGATGTCTGCATTGAGATTTTGCTTCAGTTTATGAAAAACGGAAATGGCCAGAAGATCTGGTGCTCTGCTCTCGTTTCGTAGACCGAGGATAAGAACCGCCAGTTACAAGAGCGCCTGGAGCTGGCCGAGCAGAAGCTGCAGCAGACCCTGAGGAGGGCGGAGACGCTCCCCGAGGTGGAGGCGGAGCTGGCCCAGAGGGTGGCTGCCCTCTCCAAGGTGGGGCCTCGGGTTCCATTCTGGGGCCGCTGTCGGGATTCTGACTTTGAGATGATTGTCAATGTACCTTGTTCGTCTTTGTCGTGTGTCGGTGCACCTAAACCACGAAAGAGCTCAGATCTGTCCTTAGTGCTGTTTTGTCTGAGATTGGAATGCTTTCAAAATGTCAGAGGTGATCCCCCTTTTTTGCTCTCCCTAAATTAGTTCCCCTCCAGTTTTGTCAGATGTGTGCTGTTCGTCCCCAGGATGCTTGATCTAAGAGCCACTGCTTCTTAGAGTTAAGTCCACAACTCAGAGCATAGGATAGAAGCCTCGTGTAAAAGGACAGAATTTTTCCCAGAAACAGGAAAATATCATTCTCTTATAAAGACAAAATGAATTTGTAAGAAACTAATTTAAGTAATTTATTCATTCATTTGTTCAACAAATATTGGCTAGGCTTGTGCAAGACATGGGCCCTGCCCTCCCAGTGCTCACCATCCGGAGGGGGAGCCAGCAGGTGAAGGGGCAACTTCAGAATGATGTAATAGGTACTAGAATCGGGTGGTCCACACAGGAGGAGGAAGCACACAACGGCAGACAACCCAGTCTTCCTGGGCCTATGAAAGGCGTGGCCTCCAGAGCCTGTAGGCGTCAGCCAGGCAAGGAGAAGCGAGCCCCGGGCCGAGGGAGCCGCCTGAGCAGAGGCCTGTGTTGGAGCATCTGTCAGTAGTTGTGTTTCGCCTGACTCGAGCTTAGTGAGCTGCTGGTGCAGGCACCAGTGGGAAAAGGGTGAGGACAGACATAGGGTGCTGTTCGTGGAGGCTAACCTTGGGTCTGCCGAGTGCTCGCAGACCTTCCTTAGAGCAGGTTCATTGCTAACAGCTATAACTGAACCTCTCCTCTTCCATCGTGATCTGCCTTTAAAGTCTCGGTTTCTTTTCTCCCCTGTCATCTCTCCTGTCCCTGGTTGGCCTTGTAGTCTGACCTTTTGTCTTCTGGAATCTCTGCTGCTAAGGAAGCTAAACTGTCCGAACTCACTTCCCAGCTTAGGAAGGTAGAACGTGCACATTGCTCTTACGCGTGCTTGCTGCTTCCTGCTTTCCCTGCTGACTAACCGAGAGCAGTGTGAGGATGGGGAGAGCCACTGAGGTTGGGCATGGGGTGGGGCAGCACATTTTCTCTTGCAAAGTTCATCACCAACACCAGCCATGCCTCAGCGTCACCAACGTGAGAGGATTAATTGCTTCACAGTTTAGCACATGAAGCCACATGGGACGTGTTAGTCGATGTAAGTAAATGCTTTCCGTTTCACGTGGTTGAAAACAGTCCACGCAGAGCATGTTATGCTTGCTGCTCCTGCAGTAGTATACAGCATGTTGTCGGTAAAGGGTAGTTATGAGTTGAACTTACGCTGTTTCTGCTGACAGGCCGAGGAGAGACATGGCAACATCGAGGAGAGGCTGCGCCAGATGGAGGCACAGTTGGAGGAAAAGAACCAAGAGCTACAGCGGGTACGTGTCCAGGCACAAGGCCGAGCGCGTGCAGGAGGACGTGCTCAGGCAGGGGAAAGCGACACCTCGTGTTTCCACTTGTCCCGACTTGGACGCTGGTCCCTTCTCCGTCTTGTTGTGTGTGTGTTTAGTTGTGGCCTCATCTGTGAGTCGTCTGCTGATAGGAGCATCCACCACATAGGCAGTTACGTCAGCGTTGGCAGCAGAGGGAAAAATTGGTGCCTATGGGCTGTGCTGTAGGGGTAGGTGGATCCCCATGCCCCAGGAGGCTACTTGCTGCTCTGACCCGCCTGTCAAGGGAACTGTTCCAGGTGCACGTGGGACCGTACAGGCGCCCCTCAAACAAACCTGAGGTGCTGGCCCGGGGTCCCCCTGAAACTTAGAGTAAGGCACGTTGTCCTAGATGGCAGGTCTGCTTGCTTAGGATCTGGCACTGAAGGCCCAAATTCAGGTCACAGGCCTGGCTCTATCCCAAAATACTGAATTATGACTGCAGACCCAAGGTGTGTGTAGAGATGGGTATTCCTGAGCAAGAGGAATCCGTAATTGAGCTGTGATAAAAAGAGCATGAAGAGAGTGTGGCGGTGGAGGTTCGTGTCAGGTGAATCCTAAGAGTTTTCCCTGGAAGAGTTGATCAGATGTCAATATGGAATGTCCAGAAAATAGATAGAGCGAGTGGCAGTCCCAGGTCCAGCTGGCACCCAACCTTACCACACCAAGTCAAGGCCATCAGATTTCGTTTTCACCAGAAACCTATGTTCTTGGGCATGGACTGCAGAGCATCAAACATGAGCTTCCAGGAAGTGAAGATTCTGACTCCTGTCAAGAGACTATATTAGACAATCCCCTGCCTCCCAACACGCACACACCTCTTAGGCAGAGAATTAGATTTTTATCTGTTTAGAGGTGCGCTTCCTTACTTTCAGAACTGGTTGATAGAGTTTGGAAGGACCAGTGTTGAGATAGGGGTACTGTTTATGACTAAGGCAATTCAAAGTAAACTTTTAAGTTGTTTTGCTTTAAAAATATTGGAACACTGGGGCTGGCCCGGCAGCGCAGAGGTTAAGTGCACGCACTCCACTTCGGTGGCCCAGGGTTCACAGGTTCAGATCCCGGGCATGCACCGACATACTGCTTGTCAAGCCATGCTGTGGTGGCAGCCCATATAAAGTAGAGGAAGATGGCCAAGAATGTTAGCCCAGGGCCAGTCTTCCTCAGCAAAAAAGAGGAGTATTGGCGTTGGATGTTAGCTCAGGGCTGGTCTTCCTCACACACACAAAAAAATATATTAGAACACTGATATCTTATTGTATGGTGTGCTGGGTGTCTTCCAGATGATGATAGCTGCTGTGTGTTAGGCATGATCCTGAGGGCTTTGTATTTAATCCTTACAAGGACCACATGAGAAAAGGGAGTTGCCAGCACCCACATCGTACCGCTGAGGACACGGAAGCACAGAGGAGTTGAATGTGTTGGCGCGTCCCTGTGGGTTCACTGCTCCTCCCTGGGCAGCGTGGCTTGAGCGCAAGTCTCAGCCCCCGTGCCACCTGCGCTTCGCCTGGGAGAAGCCCCTGAGCGCTGCCCGCCTCAGGCGACCCGCCCTGGTGTGTGCTGCCCGTTAGCACTGCCTGTCCCCTCCACTTTCCCTATGTGTTTGTTCAGAATAAGGGGCCAAAACAGGCTTGTTAACCATGAAATTGATGACAGTCTTATAAACACAGACTTAGCAACATTTTACGTTTTACGTTTTAAAATTACTTGAGGAGGGCCGGCCCCATGGCTTAGCGGTTAAGTGCGTGCGCTCCGCTGCTGGCGGCCCGGGTTCGGATCCCGGGCGTGCATCGATGCACCGCTTCTCCGGCCATGCTGAGGCTGCGTCCCACATACAGCAACTAGAAGGATGTGCAACTATGACATACAACTATCTACTGGGGCTTTGGGGGAAAAATAAATAAATAAAATTATTTAAAAAAAAATCCTCTTAAAATTACTTGAGGTAATTATTTATAATTTTTTAATATAAATTTTCACAAAAAATTCAAGTGATGTAGGAGTATAAAGAAAAACAGGTGAAAGTCTCTCTATCTCCACTGATTTCTTCCCAAATGAATTTTTTTTTTTTTTTTTTTTTAAGAAATCCTTAGGAACCTGTTTTTAAGCCTTTGGGATTTCTTTTGTGTGTGTGTGTGAAGAAGATCAGCCCTGAGCTAACATCCATGCTAATCCTCCTCTTTTTGCTGAGGAAGACCCGCTCTGAGCTAACATCTATTGCCAATCCTCCTCCTTTTTTTTTTCCCCCAAAGCCCCAGTAGACAGTTGTATGTCATAGCTGCGCATCCTTCTAGTTGCTGTATGTGGGTCGCAGCCTCAGCATGGCTGGAGAAGCTGTGCGTCGGTGCGCGCCCAGGATCCAAACCTGGGCCGCCAGTAGTGGAGCGCGCGCACTTAACCGCTAAGCCACGGGGCCAGCCCCCGAATGAATTTTTTTACCTTTTGCTGTGTGAGTTGAATTTATTTTTTCCCCCTGAATCCAGACCCAAGCTTCTGTTTACACACCAGCAGATAACTCCACCAATGTGTAGATAAACTGATCCCCTCAAAAATATGCTTGTGTCTGCATGTAAATCTGCTCCCGGAGTCCATCCAACAGTTAGTGATGGGTGACGTTCCTGAGGCCCATGAGTGCTTTGTTTAGCAGGAGCACTGGGACCTTCTAGTTAATGCTCGCTCCAGGCCTTGTCCCTGTGTTTCTCTGCACCTGTGAATCAGTCCTGGTGATTGTGCAGACGGCCACTGGAGGGGACGGTGGGATGGAACAGCCCAGGGAACCATGGCTCGGGTGACTCTCACCGTGGGTCCTTGGCACTTTTCAAGTAGTGATCATACCTTTGCTCGAAGTCTTGAGGTTTTGTTTCTCCCGTTGTAGGCAAGGCAGAGAGAGAAGATGAACGAAGAACATAACAAGCGTCTGTCAGACACTGTTGACAAGCTTCTCTCCGAATCTAATGAGAGGCTTCAACTTCATCTTAGAGAGAGAATGGCTGCTCTGGAAGACAAGGTGGGCATCACAGGACCACTAAAGCTTTCCCTTTCACAAGGAGATCGCTCCTGTTGTGCGCCCGAGGGAGGAGTAGTGTGTAACCACCATCACAGAAAGTGGAAATGTTCTGTAAAGAGGAAAAAGTACCAACTGTTACCCACTCATTGAACTAACTTATCGTTTCTTATGCTCTTGCCCAATCTGTGTGTAGGAAATTGTTTATCATTCTCATTCTCTAAAGCAGGGCTTGATAAACCGTGTCTATAAAGGGCCAGGTAGTAAATATTTTAGGCTTTTACTAATTACAAGTAACCGAGTAAAATCATTTTGTGCTCACCCATGCTTAGCACAAAAGCAGCCATAGACAATATGTAAACGAATGCTTGTGGCTGTGTTCCAATAAAACTTTATTTACAGAAACAGGCAGTGGGCTGGGTTTGGCTGACAGGCCCTGGTCTCCAGCCCCTGCGCTGGAATCTTTTTCTAGGCGCAACGCTCACCCCTTTGTTGCTCTTGTGTTGGAAGTTAATTTCTGTCTCATATAAAAACATAACAGTGTAGGAGAATGGTATAATATAAAGGCTTTAATGAACTAAAAACAAACGTTCTCATATTCCAACTCCTGCCTTCTCTCTCTTCATTTGGTATGGAAAATGTCTGAGCCCAGGCGCCTGCCCCTCTCATTATGGAAATACTTGAGCTGTAAGCAGACTGAAGGAGAATCCTAGAATCTGTATCAGGGAAGCTCTGATGGCGATAGTTGGATTCAGACTTGATGCAGCCTGTGCTCACTGCACCGGTGTCCCCACAGATGAGGCCCAGAGTCTCCCCTGAGGTTGGCCCTGGGGTCCTGCTCATTTGAGAGAGACCAGTGATTGCTACTCCTTACGCGACCTTTATTTTACACAGAACCCATTAGGCAGTGCGTTACTAGGGCCCACACAGGGTCCGTACCTCACTTCCTCCATCAGCGGGCCAACCTTAAGGGAGGAATATTTTTATCTTAGGTTTAAATTATACGTTTGAAACTTAGGTCAGGTTTCCCAAATGACCAATGAATTGTAAAACCTAAAAGCTACTATAAACCAGTTTAACTGATTAAAATAAACTTAAACCATGAACTTGACCTACTTACATTTCAAAAAGCGACCAGTGAAGAAGTTGATTGTGTGTGTACACATTGTCCTTAGAAGTTGTGTTGGCCCCGCTGCTGCATTTCACTCTGTGATACTGCTCATGAGTGCGTTTGTGTGTGGTACTTTATTGTTTTAAACAGAGATGTAGCCATACTGTATTACGTGGAACGTTTTCAAGAATCAACACTAGGGGCCGGCCCGGTGGCGCAAGCGGTTAAGTGTGCGCACTCCACTGCGGCGGCCCGGGGTCCGCCGGTTCGGATCCTGGGCGTGCACCGACACACTGCTTGTCCAGCCATGCTGTGCCGGCGTCCCATATAAAGTAGAGGAAGATGGGCACGGATGTTAGCCCAGGGCCAGTCTTCCTCAGCAAAAAGAGGAGGATCAGCATCAGATGTTAGCTCAGGGCTGATCTTCCTCACAAAAATGAAAAAGGAATCAACACTAAAGGACTCTCTGTCTTTTTCAGAATTCTCTATTACGAGAAGTTGAAAATGCAAAAAAGCAGTTAGAAGAAACGCAACATGATAAGGTACTTAAATCTCTAAATTGTTTAGAATTGAGGTGAGTTCATTGTTCTTATAACTGCTACAGATGTTTGGTGAAGTTGAGTTAAGCTGACTTTACGGCTAGTCCGCTGCTCTAAGATTCATAACACTCCTAGATTTGTACATTGAATGCACCTGTATTTTAGATGGATTTTGAGTCTGGTAACATGTATGGTTCAGAATTCTGAGTCCTTTCTGGGTTCATTTGAAAGCTAAAACGTTAGCATAAACCTTTTATCTAGAACAGTGCTGTGCAACAGAAATATAATATGAGCCACATGTATAATCTAAAATTTTCTAGTAGCCACATTTAAACAGTAATTAGAAACAGGTGAAAGTAATTTTATTTAACCTAATATAGTCAAATATTATTTTATGTCATTAATATAAAAATTAATGAGGTACTTTACATTCTTTTTTTCATAGTAAGTCTTTGAAATCACCGTGTGGTCTGTAGTTACAGCACATCTCAGTTTGGACCAGCCCTGTTTCAGGTGCTCACTAGCCACGTGTGGCAAGTGGCTGCTGTGGGACAGCACAGATCTAGAAGGTTATAGGGTGACTTAAAAAGTTTTCTGTCAGTTTTACTTATTATTTTGCTGTGTACAGAAATGAGGCTGCACATACAAATGGACAAATGATGCATGAATGAATGAATGAATGAGTGCTCGATGCAAGACAACTAAAGACCATACAGAGGCGTACGTGCAGTAGAAAGTCAATATTGTTCACCTCCCCCCTCCCACGTCTCTGCAGAATTAATCGTTGTTAACGGCTTGGTGTTTATCCTCTAAAAACTTCTCTTTGACTAAGACATAACTTTTTATTCTTTAGGGTTTATAAAGTTAATTTGCTGCTCTAAGTGTTTATGTTTACTGTAAGACTCTTGGAGAAAACTTTCTCAGAATTAAAATGTTTGGTATTTATAACTGCTAATTTAACCTGTTATGATTATGTTCAACATTTAAGCACATTTGATGCGAATAATTTTAAATTCTTAAAGAGACAGCTGCAATGGATGCCATTTGCTGTTTTGTAGGATCAGCTCGTGCTGGACATCGAAGCATTGAGGGCTGAACTAGACCAGACGAGGCTGAGAGGCGCGTCCCTTCACCACGGGTATGACAGTCACCCGTTCACAGATATGTTTCAGCACCTGCTGTGTGTACAAGGGCATGTCCTTGGCCCCGTGGGCAGTTAACTGGGTATAGTGCGTGGTCTGACCTCAGGGAGCCTGTAGATTAGTAGCAGCAAGAGGGAAGAGTAAAACATCGTTCCAGAGGTTAGATTCTGGTACCTGAGAGGGTGGTAGTCACATCATTGGCAGAACTCAAAACCACAGGAGAAGGTTTGGGGCGAAGAATGATTGGTTGATATTTGGGTATATTAATGTGAGGGACCTGACAGAGTATGAGAGTGACGGTACAGGGATAGGAGGACAGAGCCCAAGATGCCAGATGCAGCCCCATCCACCTGGGAGTGACAGTCGCATCCACGAGGACGAAGAGAGCGCCGCAGAGTGCCTGCACTGCTGGAGTTGTGAGGGTGCCTTGACATTCATGTGTTTAGTACAGCACTTGCAGTTTTTCATGTTTTTTAAGAAACTCTGAGGGTTAATGACATGTAGGCATTTTTGAGTCTGTTGAGACATGACTTTGAGTTGGCTGCTGTGGGAGTGAATCCCCTGGCTTGTGAATGAATCTGCCAAGTTGCCCAGCATCCTGATTTTTTTCTTACTCATGGTTGTAGAGGCAGTAATTCTCCTGTAGGTACTTCTGCTTCTTTGTAGAAAATGGTCATCAAGTGAGAGTTAAACTTTAGCAAAAGTTATTGAAGTGGTTAACCAGTGACATTCGTCAGACTACGGGAAATAGGCTCCTGCTTGAAACCTGATTTAGGAGAGAGCTCTGAACCTGTACAGAGACTCCTGCATTTGCAGATTTACGATATCATGAAAGTTTAGGGGATCTTGTGGCTGTCCCCACCAAACCTACTCCTAGAACATAGGGGAGAAGACGACAGAGTCACAGAGAGGCAGGGCCAGAAACTCTGCCTGGCGCCACAACCACGGGAAGGTAGAGTCTCATGAAGGAGAGTGTATGTGCTCACGGAGAGGGAAACGTGGAGGACCAGCAGGGCAGAAGACCATCTCATTTGCTGATTAAGATCCTCGATGGGAAAGGCTAGTGTTGTCAGTGCGCGAGGGGCAGACCCACCCTCAAGGAATTAAAGAGGATGTGTGTTTGAGGAGGATTGCGCGGGTACGTGGATGAAGGGGAAGGGGACGTAGTGTGTATTGTTACTCTTTTGGAAGTTTGAGTCATGAAGGGAAGGGAGCTGGTGTGGGAACTTGAAGGGGTGGCCAGGCTCGGGGCAGTTTTTACGATGGAGACATCAGGCATGTTTGCCCGTCCCAGGTGTGATATTAAAAGTGAAAGATGAGGAGAGAAAGGGGCTCTTTGCTCTAGTAGTGCAGAGGTGGCAGGAGGGATGGCCAAGGGCACAGTGGCTGTGTGGTGTGAAGACAGTGGGCAGGAGAGGCTGGGTGCAGAGGAGAGGGGTTTGTCTCAGGGAGGCAGATCTAAAGATGGCATGTCAGATGGCTTAGAAGAGAGGTTGTTGGGAGCTGTGGAAATGGGGGAAGACAAATCGCAGTCAGCGTGGGACGGGGCCTTGGGTGGGGATGGATGAGAAGGTGCCTAGCAGGCAGGGCGGGCTCAGATCACTTGGCATGACTCTACGGTGAAATCGGTCATCTTGTTTTTGTGATCTCTCCACCAGAAAAGATAGCCTAGACAGAGGAGAGGAGAAGGGTGATGGACGGGCCTCCATAAATAGATTGGGCTTGTAGAAAAGAGCTTGGGGAGGTGATTGGCTGCAGGGTGGCGGCAGGGTGGGGAGGAAGGTAAGCCTGGAAAAGGGTCTCACAACTAGGAGGCACTTGTAGACTGCAGAGGATGCATGAACCACCCAGAATTACACGCAGGATTTCGTGTGTGCATCAGAGGATTCACGAACCACCCAGAATTACACTCAGGATTTCGTGTGTGCGTCAGAGGATCCACGAACCCTCCAGAGTTAGACGCAGGATTTCGTGTGTGCATCGCTTTCATCTGACTTTGAACTGTCTCATGACCCAAAGCGCTCAGGCTAGAAATCGCACTGAGAAAGAGTGAGCAACTTCATTAGGAGTGAGGGATAGAGGAAGTAAAAAGATGGTTGTGCTCAAAGGGGAATTCCGGATTTGGATATCTTAAAACAAGTAACAAATCTCATGTAACACTTCAAGAAGACATTTCTTTAAAAAAATATGGAGAGGTGTGTGAACCAAAAGTAGATGAGTTGGCATGTCACACTGGCCCCGTCCACGATGGGGTGGGGAGGCGAGAGGGGTCCCCTGTTTAATTGGCTTTAATCAGATGAGTGTACTGTATCTCCTCAGATCTTAAGGACTTCTGAAAATGAGGGCAGCCACCTTCTTTCCCGAGAACAAGGAGTTACTAGACTGCCGGCCAGGACTGAGGTGTGGCTGGTGTGCCCGTGGTGAAGGCTGGGCACTGGGGCTAGGCAGCATGCTCCTTAGCCTCTGCTCACCAGTTCCTCGTCAGGGCCTTTTCTAATGGCTCACCTCAACGGCTCCCTCGTAGGTGCTCAGGGCCCCACCTGCCTGTCCTGGTGTTTTCCAGCCACGGTGTTGATTGTCTGTTAATCTAATTGCACACAGATCTGTACTTTTGATTCAGAAACACCAAAGCAAGCTGCAAATCCTGTTCATATCAGCGCCAAGCTGTGTTTGGGCTTCTGCAGCTGGTTCCTCTAAGGTGCCTGTTAGTAGCGCTTTAGACAGTGTTGAACAGCTAGAGGAGTACCTGTGGTCCGTGAGCCTCACACTGGATCTTGGCACTAATGGGAGAATGACGGTTGAAGCTGGAAGTGAGGAATAGGTGTGCTTCCTGGCCAGTCAGGGAAGCATAGAGCAGAGGCGGGGCTGAGCCACCCGCCTGAGGGGGCTCTGAGACGGATTACAGATCCTTCTCCAGAGCCCAGACAGCTGGACTCCGTCCTCTTATCTCCGTGTCGGTGGCGGCGGCATTGGTTTTCCTGAAGGTTTCCCACCTGCAGGGGCCGAAAGACTAAATGCTGGCAGGAGCAAAGAGAGACGTGCCCTCTATGGAGACCTTTTTCTGTGAAGTTATTTTCCAAATTGACAGGTTTTGGCTTGACTAACAAAGTTAGTTCACTTTTCTTATCTAATAACGACCTTTTTTTCCATGTTTCAGCCGACCCCACTTGGGCAGTGTCCCAGATTTCAGGTTCCCTGTGGCAGACGGTCCCACAGACTCCTACAGCGGCAGTGCCGTGTTGCGGCGCCCCCAGAAAGGCCGTCTGGCAGCCCTGCGAGATGAGCCGTCCAAGGCAAGGCCTCGTCCTCGGCCGGCTCGAGTGAGACGCCGGCCTGTGTAAAAGTCTCCTGTTTGTCCTGTGATTGTGAGACTGTTTGGGGGTTCAAATGTTGATAGGTCACGTTCTCTCTTCTCCTCCGCCCATTTTCCCTTTTCTGGCTAAGAGTTTACTTTTAGAGCATGCTTTTTTTTTTTTAAAAGAACAAATTCTGATAAAATACGACCTCTTAAGCATAGCACAATGCTAACTAGTACAGTTTTGAAGTAGTAGTTAAGGGTAAGTGAATACATGCATCCGTCATCTTTTAGTGAAAAGAATTCACATGTGGAAATTTAAATACCTTCATACGTTTGTCTGTTTAACAGCATATATTTTTATATACTTCTCTGTATTTTGAGCACCCATATTCAATGAACACCTGGTTTGGGCCAGGAATGATTATAGACCTATGGCTCCAGCAGTGAATAAAAACAGAAAAGATGCCTGTACCCCCAGCATGCACATTCTAGTGAGGAGAGAGAGCGGTGCCTGAGAAGTAAAATATGGTCTGTGTATTAATTACCTGTCACTGTGGTAACAAGCTGCTATAAAGCTGAGTGACCTAAAACCAGGAATACTTACTCGTTCACGGTTTCTGTGAACTTAGGAGCCTGTTAGGAGGATGATTCTGGCTCAGGTTCTCCTGAGGTTGCAGCCATCAGAATGCTCAGGGGGCTGGAGGGTGCATTTCCAGGCTCACTCGCCTGGCTCTTCCTTGCAAGGTGGACCTCTCCATGGGCTGCTTGAGTGTCCTCACAGCATGGCGGCCGGCTTTCCTCAGAGCTCATTCTGAGAGAGAGCAAGAAGGCCCCAGCTCTTTCGCCCTAGTCTCGGAATCCAGACACCTTCGCTTCCACGGCTCTCTGTTCATCAGTGAGTGATCAAGTCCTGCCTGTACTCCAGGGGGTGGGGCGTGGAGGAGTATTAGGGAATTTGTGGACGTATCTTTAAACCACCACAGTGTGTCCAATAATAATAAGCAGGGGAAGGAGACCCAGGGTACCCCAAACTGTGGAATGAGGAGGGGAGGATCATGGTAGATGATGTGGCCAGGGAGGTCTCCCCAGGATGGTGACGTTTGAGCTGAGACCCAGGAGGGAAGAGAAGGAACCATCTGGAGATGTTATAAGGACGTGCCAACAAAATGTGCTGATGGGTTGAATATAGATTGTGAGAGAAAGCCGAGTCAGGACCCCGAAGGCTTGGGCTTGAGCAGCTGAAGGCTGGAGGCTGTCTCCTGAGATAAGGAAGACTGCAGGGCAGGGGAGTCTAGGAGTTGAGCCTTGGCCCCGATCAGGTTGACAGCCCTATCCAGTGTCCAGGCAGACGTGTCAGGTAGGCAGTTGGATATTCCAGCTTGGAACCCAGGAGAGAAGTCTCAAGATAAAGATTTAGGGGTCATGAACATACAGTTGGTATTTAAAGGCGTAGGACAAGATAAACTCCCAAGTGGGTACCTGTTGATAGAGATGAGGTTCAAGGATAGAGCCATGGGGCACTCCAAAATCCAGAGGTTGGGAAGATTGAGAAGGGACCCGCAGGAGACTAAGGAGTGAGAAGTGAGGTAAGCGGAAACCCAGAGAGGGTGGGGCCTGGAGCCGAGTGAGTGAGATGCTCAGGGAAGAGGGGAGAACAGCATGCCTGGTCCTGCTGATGGGCCAGATGAGGTGGAGGTGGAGGACGGCAGTGGACTTAGTAATGTGGGGTGCCATGGACCCTAGAGCGGCTCTGCTGGAGGGGAGGTGGTATAGCCTGCTTGCAGCAAGTTCTAGAGACCAGGAGGAAAGGAAGTGGAGACAGAGTAGAGGCGGGTCTGGAGGACTTTTACTCTGATCGGGAACAGAAATGCAGTGGTAGCTGGAAGGAGACATGGCGTATAAGTTCTGTGGTCTCTGTTGTAGTATTTTAACGAGGAACAAGGGAGAAAACATTCTTAGGCTGATGGGAACGAGCCAGTAGAGAATTGATTATCCCGAGAGAGGGAGGAATGGGGGCAGGAGATCCTGGAGTCAGCTGTAGGGGTGGGACTCGTGCCCAGAGGCAGGGCTGGCCTGGGCGGGGGCACAGGTGCCCGGCCACGATCTCGGATCTCAGGAGGGAAGACGGAGTGCGTGGGTACAGGCCCGGGTGACGGGGAGACAAGCCAACGGGGCCTCTAGAGTCCTGTGATTGTTCTGATGCCATGTCAGTGAAATGGGAAGCAGGACCCTGGACTGAGAGTGAGACTGGAAGAGGAAGAGATGGAGGTTTGGAGAGAAGGCTGAAACAGCCACATGGGAGGGGATCACACAGGCCCCACGCGCACACCTTCTCCGTCCGTGTTCTGATTACAAACACTGCACTTCCATCACACAGAAGAGGGTTTGGGCTCAGCACAGAGGTGCCTTTTCTCCATGAGCCACAGTTCTCTAGAAAACATGGTCCACCAGCTCGCTGTTCCTCGGATGCTGAGACAAGCGCATCCCAGGGCTTGCCCTGCTGTCTCTCGTTCTGCTGCCCCTTTCTGCTTTTGTCCGTGCTTGTTTGTACTGGCCTCGGAGGAGGGAAGGTTGGGAAACGCCAGTGAGTTATGTGTTTCTTGATAACACCAGTACAATGGTGTGGCAACTGAGGTGACCCCAGCTGCTGTGGATCGAATGAATTTTTTTTACTTCCCATTAGCATGGCTGACTGTGCCACGATGTCTTGTTTTAATTTTCAGTTTTCGTTTCTGACGCGGTCATCTCACCACTGTGAATAAGGTCCTAGAAATGCCTCGTGTCCACAGTAAGACATGAACGTTACCAGGCAGTCTAAGTAATAGGTTATCCTCCATTATTGCCTGCTTAATACGTGTCGGCAGCTTACAAGCATGACCCATTTTTCCAAAATCTTTTGAGCTTCCATTGAAATATTTTGTCAGTTTCTGATAGGTTTATGTTAAGTTGCTGTAACTGTGGTGGTGATTTTCCATCTTTGCTGAGGTTTGGTTTTCTTGTTTACAGGTACAGACTCTTAATGAACAGGATTGGGAACGTGCCCAGCAAGCTAGTGTCCTGGCAAATGTAGCGCAGGCCTTCGAGAGTGATGTTGACGTGTCTGATGGTGAAGACGACAGGGATACGATCTTCAGCTCAGCTGGTCTCTTGTCACCCAGTGGGCAGGCAGATGCCCAGACGCTGGCCATGATGCTTCAGGAGCAGCTAGATGCCATCAACAAGGAGATCAGGTACGCGGGATTGTACACAGCACCACAGGAACATGAGTGTCTCTCAGGATTGTCTTCCACTTAGAAAAGTCTGGAACAGATACTGTGAACGTATTCTAAATGATCCATAGTAATAAAACTTACTTCAGTTTTGTTTGAAGAATTTTAAGTTCTGAGATTGCCCTCAACTATGAAGTTGAGTTAATCAGGGCGTTCTCTCCATAACTGTGGCATCGGCACACTCGTGTAAAATCGTGCGGAAGGGTGAAAGGTGTTCAGTCCGTTCCCCACAAAGCTGACGACACAGCTAGAGAGCACTGCAGGGAGCTCAGTGTCAACCTGTGACGCTCTCTGGACCCTAGGCCAGGTTCCGGAGACGGCCGGGGTGCAGAGAGCTGAGAACGCATCAGAGGAGGCCTCCTGCTCCAGAGTGCAGAGGGAAGATGTGGCGTGGGGCAGGGCACCACAGAGAGTTGGGAGGAGATGACTGGCCTGGCGCCCATATGGGTGAGAAGCAGGGTTCCTTTCATGGCGGTGCCAGAGGGCAGATGACTCATCAGGAGAAATGCCAGAGCTCAGTCCACTGGCAAGCGGAGGTGAAGTGTGCGGGAGGGAGGGAGAGCCACTTACCACCCCTTCCAGCCTGAGGGTCCCCGGACTGTGAGCCCCGAGAGGGGCCAGGGAGCTGGCGAGGCATCCGCCTGCTGCTCGTGCATCCTCCAGCAGTGAGGAGGGCCCTCTGTGTGTCTCTTAGAGCCTCACATTTTCAGGTGTGTGTCACACAGCCACCTGCGACAGAAAAGCTGAGGTTTTCAGATTGGCAAATTCCCATTCATACTTGCGTTTTGCTATGTTAAATTTATATAACGTGAAAATTGGTTCATTGTAAGGTAGTGGTCAAGGGATGTGTGTTTGAATCTTCTTAATCTCATCAATATTTTAAAGTTGTTTTCTTTAGAAACCTCTTTTAGCAGTTATAATAGTAAATTTACAAAATAGTGGGCTGACGTGGGCTTGAATCCAAAGCTTGGCCCCTGCAGTGGTGACGGGCCTTAGGCCTGGGGAGCAGCAGCGTGACCAGGTGCCCTGCGTCTGCCCCATGTCAGGCCTGATGCACCCCCATCTGGGCCTGGAGCCACACGAAAACCAGCTGTGTACCAGTGACCCTGCAGTGGGTCTGGGTAGAGTTGCTGTCCACATTTTGTTGTTGTAAAGTTAACACAGACAGAAGTGCCCCTTCCTGCCTGCAGAGAGCCGGAGGGAGAGAAGAAAGGTGAGCAGAATAAGATCAAAAAGAGCGCTAGGCTCTGAAGGAGAAAGGAGGCTGTGCCGCCTGCAGTTTTGACTTTATAAACTGGCCTTTCGTGTGCTGTGTTTCAACACGGAGGAGCTCTGAAAGGTTGTCTTTCCCCATCCCTATGGGAAATATGAAAGGATTATAAATGTCAGCTTTTATTTTTTACAGTGTATTGCTAAGTAAAACATTTTTCTTCAAGCGGCAAGTTGACCTGATCTGAATGGTAAATTCTATGCACTGACTTGTTATTAATAACAAAAAAATACTTTCAGGGTATATAAGTAGAACTTTGAACTGGAAAAGTTACTGCAAGGTTACTACTAATTTAATATTAGAACAATGATTTGCATGGTCAGATATTAAAACTGCTGTTTGTTCATCCGCTGTACGTTAGGAGAGAAGAGCTTTAGTCTTGAATTCCAAATTAATGCAGCGTGGTTGACAGGAACTCAGAAATTCAGATGAGGCTGGTGGAGAATTCTATCAAATAATGCTTTTGTTCAAATTAACCTTTAAAAAAATCATTTTCATCTAGTCTACAGGCTTAAGTGTTTAGAAACTCCTAATTGCTTTGTGCATTGATTTTTTGCTTAAATCAGAGTTCCCAGTTTCCAGTTGAAAAAATTGATAGATAAATATGCAGCTGTGCTCTGAGAAGAGGGCATGTCAGAGCTGTAAAATTCAAATGTCTCATCGTGCAGTAAGAGAGTTGCCAGCCAGCCCCCTTCAGACTTGTAGTGTACATAAGTAAAATAAAACATGAGTGGTCAGAAACGACTTTACAAGACTCAGTGGAAGATTTACTTTGTGTTGTTCTAAAACTGAGTGTGTTAAAAGAGAGAAAAAGTAGAACATTTTTGCCGAAGTGTTAATTGTTTGAGCAACCATTATTGGAGTTTACTTACAGTACAAGCACAGATTTTTTTATCCAAACGCACTAATCTGTTTGCTAATAAAGGAAGGGTGATCTGTTTTATTTTTTTTTAGGTTGATACAAGAAGAAAAGGAAAACACAGAGCAGCGGGCGGAGGAGATTGAGAGTCGAGTTGGCAGTGGAAGTTTAGACAATCTTGGTCGTTTTAGATCAATGAGCTCCATTCCCCCCTATCCTGCTTCCTCGCTTGCTGGCTCCTCTCCTCCAAACAGCGGCCGGTCCACCCCACGAAGGATTCCGCACAGTCCAGCTCGGGAAGTGGACAGACTAGGTATCATGACTCTAGTAAGTATTTGTTGTTTCTCCCCTCACCCCCAGCACACCTGATTTAAGTCTTGGACACCAGGAATGTGCTTTTTTTGTTTTAACGCAGAAGAAAATCAGGTACATTTGTTATGCTCAGAGGTTCAAGAGTTTTAAAAGCAGCTAGTATTTAATCATTCAATAGCACAGAGACAAATTAATTTTAATATTTGGATGACCAGTTGAGCATATCATCCTGAACTCATGAGAAGTTGTGTTTGTAACTTTGGGCATGGGCAGCTGTGCTGGGTACAGCAGCGAGAAGGGGGAATATTTTTGTTTTCTAGGAGTAGGCACTTTCACAAAAGTAAATATAGCAGCCATCACAGCATGTAGGAAAATGTGCAGAGTCACGGCTGTCCTTTATGTCAGGGATGACTGACTGGAGGGTACAGGACATGCAGTCCAAAAAAAACGAAACAAAAGCTAAATCGGTCCTCTTAATACTGCCCTCGGCGAGGCGCTGAACAGCAGGTCTGCACGTGACCCCAGGACCATGTCAGTTAAAGCCGTGTTGCTTCTTGGATTCCCAGGGAGGCAGACGGGCTGCTTTACTGTTCAGCATCTAGAAGTGCAGGGACCTTATGATTTTTGGTGACAACGTGCAGCTCTAAAGAATATTTTATGACTTCCTCATGTACTTAGTTTAGGTTTTGTGAGTGCATGAAATTGTGTTGACGACATTCTGCTTTCTCACTGCACTTCTATTATCATTTCTTCTCTTACCATCCATTTTCGTTTTTAGTTGCATTGTTAGCCAGCATATAATTAAATCAACCACAGATCATTTTAGTGGCATATGAAGTGGTGACTAGTCCATTTTGCAGTGTTTTGATGTACTATTTTTATAATTTACATCGTTAGCTAATTAGCTAATATTTTAAACTCTCTGACCATTTCATGTGTGGTTTCATGCTTATTTCCTTTCAGAGAATTTGTAAAAACAGTTCTGTTTTTTTTTTCCCTTGTTTTTATAGTTCTGTATGCTGGCTGACAGTGTGTCTGCTTCCTTGTTTGGTTTTGATGTCCTGTATCATCCTTTTGTTTGTTTTATCACTGTTAATCCAGACCTCAGCCCCTACCCCCGCCCCCCGGGCTGTGGTGTGTTGATCCAGCTGCCCTCCCCTCTCCTCCCCGGGCTGTGACACCGTCTCCACACTGTGCTCAGGGAACAGCCACGGTGTGATCCGTAGCGTGTCTGTGGTCGATTGGGGCTCGTTAGTGGGGTTTCTGCTTTATCTTCATTTCTCATTAAAGAGTGTTTTTTTCCCTCAGTAGCAATAATTTTTTATTAGCGTTTCACTGTATAATAGATGTGGATACAGGCATGATATAGATGGATCAGCGTGTTTCTACTCACACTATGTAGGATATGTGTAATTCATCAATGTTTTTTATATAAAGAAATAATCCACTAAGTGTAGAATTATTGGAAAATTGACACAAGCATGCTTTTTTGTTTTGATGCTTGTATTCAAGACTAAATCTCTTGGGCCGGCCCTGTGGCTTGGTGGTTAAGTGCGCGCGCTGCGATGCTGGCGGCCCGGGTTCGGATCCCGGGTGCGCATCGAGGCACCACTTCTCTGTCCATCCTGAGGCCGAGTCCCACATACAGCAACTAGAAGGGTGTGCAGCTGTGACATACAACTATCTACTGGGGCTTTGGGGGCAAAAAATAAATAAAATCTTTAAAAAAAAAAAAAAAAAAAAGACTAAATCTCATCAACTTATTGAACATGCACAATTAATGCCTTTAATAAACTTTTTTAAATTAAAATATTTTATAGGAATCATAGAATGTAAAGATTCCACCTGCTATTATGCTAGCTTTTATTCCTACCTATTTTCACAGGGTACCCTGCTTTAATCAATAAATTTATTTTTGAGAAATTTTAAATCAAATTCTGGGTAAGAATTTTATATTAACGACCAACAGGTGATTAACTGATTGTAAGTTTGTTCAGTTTTATAGTAGGTCTTGCAGTAACTTCCTCATCGATTAGATTGATATTTTAAAGTATAAAGTGTGTTTCGTTAGGGGAAGACTAAGATATGGAGAAGTTTGGCTTAGAATAGACAACTGTTAGGGCCCTTTGTTAAATAGAATGCCATATTTTAATAAATCGTGTAATAGAATTTTATCTCCCTGAGTAATAATTTTTAGTGTTTCTCTAGTAAATCTTGAATAACTTACTATTTAAATTTTGTGGTGAAAAAATGTTCTATTTCAAGTTACATTGTCTCTAAATCTTATCTCACTTATATGTGTCCTGTCATTCTCTTTTTAATATATTTGCTGTACTGATCCTTGAATTTTTAACTTCAGAGTATGCAGTAAATCTGGTTTCTCTTCATTTCTTTGCATGCGTCTGTCAGCCTAGTGATTTAAGGAAACATCGTAGAAAGGTAAAATATTTAGTAACTTAACATGCCTTTGTTTCTCTGTGAAGTATTGAAGAGTACCTGTCATTTTCCATGAATGAACACTGTGAGGCTGTGTCTTGATGAATCATTGATGTTTTAATGGATGTGTTGACACTCACCCGGCACGTCACAAATGACGATTGTTCTCTGGGAGATGGGTCACAGGTGGTTTGCATAGAACACTGGGACAATCATAAGGATTTGCCTTTCTCCCACTTATTTGCCTTCTAATGATTGCATGCTTATTTATAATACATATAGCATTTTTAAAAATGAGAAATTATTGATATAGAGCCACAGATTTTAGTTTTGGGAAAAACTAGTTTTAACAAGCATGGCTAGCGGCATTAGTAAGCTCTTACTGTATGCCAGGCACTGTGCAGAGTGCTTTATGCCTCTGTTACCTCATCCTCATGCACATCCCTGTTGTTATTGGGGTTACAGGTTACAAGTATACAGGTTACTGTTGTTATCCCATGTACAGATATGGTAACGGAGGCTCAGAGAGGTCACACACTGTGCCCAAAGTCGCATAGTCGGGAACACGGCAGTTCGGATTGGTCTGTTTTCAAAACCTGGATGTAGCCACTTCCCCAGCTGTCCTGCCTTCTCTGCAGATTCTCTTATCTCCTTGCAGCATTCTTGACAGTGGGACGTCAGGGCCTCTTCTCCTTACAGATAATTGTGAATTGGGCCTCCCTATGCTTGGAGAAAGTACATGCATTAAGGAACAGATCTGTTGACCAAAATGTGTTCCTCGTAACCTTTATGCTCTCGTGCATAGTCTGCGCCCCCACCCGAAACCTGCCTGATCCTGCACTCCCGGGACGCCCTTCGGATGCTCAGGCAGCCGTCCTCTAACCTCACCACTTAATGCACCTGAGCCCTCCACTGCGCAGAGCAGCGTGGCGATTCAGTGAAACTCGGGTTCACTGATTGGTTTGTGACCTGGGTGTGCTGCTCGCTCTCTTTGCGCCTTGGTTTGCTCTCCTGTTTAAGTGAAGACAATGATAGAATCAGGCTCCTCGGGGTGGCCGCAGACTGTGGCTGTCTGTGTACCGTCCATAAGGAGATAAGGAGCCTACACCAGCAACGAGGTGCAGAGCACACCCTTCAGTCGTGCTGACTTGTATTTTCCTTGGTAGCAAGACTTTCTCAATGGCGGAAGAAGCTTGTTGATTCACGTCCATGCCTGACAGCCCGATCCTGTTGCCCGTGGTAACGTTGAGCTCGCTGCCTGGCTCCTCTGAGGGCCTTGTTGGGAGGATGAAACCAGGTGTATGTGCAGAGTGCCAGGCATGGTGCAGACACAGCCAACCTGGGCCGAGCACTGGCGCCCTCTTCCTCCTCCACATCATTGGCATATGCCGAGATGACTTCCCACCTCATGGAGCTTCCCATTCTAGTCAAGTCTGAAAGAGCATGTAGGCACAAGTGTGGCGGGCTCCAGTCCTGGGTGGGGTGCACCTCACGATAGGAGTGCAGAGAGAGAGAGCTGGCCGGGCTGGGGTGAGCCCGACTCCTCCTTAGGAGAGGCTCGCCATGTTGACTGGGCTTTGAACTAGGGCCCGTCCTTACTCACGAGCTACCACTACACCACTGGGCTGGCCCAGGATTGTTGTTTTTTGTTTTTTATACGTGATTGTTTTAACCTGAATTTGAAATCTGTCCCTGTTAAGTTTTATATGGATAGTTCCTAGCCATTTATAGCCTTTGGTTATCTAATGGCTGTAATTAGAAATTGGTAGAGGACGCAGAATTTATCCAGCTACGGCTTAAAGTGATGTCTTAAATGAGTACAGCTCCACTTTGCACCGAGCCCCTGTGGGGCTGCAGTGGATGGATATTCTTTACACAATACTGTTAAAAAGGCACAAGTAAGGGGCTGGCCCAGTGGCGTAGTGCTTGAGTTTGTGCGCCCCACTTCGGCAGCCAGGGGTTCACGGGTTCAGATCCTGGGTGCGGACCTACGCGCTGTCTGTCAGGCCATGCTGTGGCAGGCGTCCCACATATAAGGTGGAGGAGTATGGGCACAGATGTTAGCCCAGGGCCAGTCTTCCTCAGGAAAAAGAGGAGGATTGGGCAACAGATGTTAGCTCAGGGTTAATCTTCCTCACCAAAAAAAAAAGCACAAGTTGGCTGATGAAGTCTTATTGTTTATGCAAACATCTACCATGCACGTTTCAAGAAATCCAGCCCTGCCTTAACCGCAGAACCAAATTTATCAGTAAGACCTGCCAGGACCCTGATGGGGTTAATCACTTCCCCCGCTCTTTCCCATGCTGAGATTCCCTTACAGACAGAAAAACTGGCAGTCTGAAAGAGATCATCTCTTAATGAAAACCTAGGATTACTTTAGCAAACCCATATTGAACAAATTGCTTTTAAACCACATATGAGAACTTCAGTTTATAGCACCAATCTAAACGTTATTGAGAAATACAAGACAGACACGTGTTTGGGGTGGAGGATGTAGATCCCTTTTCACTTCTCCACTTGTTGTTGTATAGGTTCCAGTAGTTTCATCACTGCTAAAAATGATACTGGATCATGGTACAAGCTATTTCTTCTTTTCTCCCCAAACAGAAGGGTCTGGACAGTTTTGCCCGAGAGGTGTCTATCCTAGCTAGTGTTTCTTTTGAATGCATCAGGAGGTCGACACTTTCTTCCTCAGCTCCTCGTGGGGGAGAGTGAATGCCATCCAAGCTTTGTAATGAGGAGATTGCGGGCGTGGTTCAGATCTCTGTGCCCTTCGGTGGCTGGCCTTGTGGTGGCCTAGGATCCTAGGGAGGGCAGACCCTCGGGCTGCCAGGAGGCTCAGGAGGAGGAGCGTCCGTGTGTCCTGCTGAGGTCTCCCCACTCATTCTGGTGCTCGCAGGCTTAGAGTCGGGCTCTGCTCCACGGTTCTGCTTCTTATGAACAGGACAGTCCTTTAACATGGCATTAGGCTAAAACAAGGCTATTTGTGCTTGGCAGAAAGCAGAGCTAATGGATTTCCAAATAAGTTTATGCTTATAGTTTAAAGCCTGTCTGTGTGGTTTTTTTTTGGTCACAGTCAATTGTTAACTAATTTTACACTTATCTCAACCCCTCAGTTGCCAGCTTCCCGAGAAGAGGTACGAGATGACAAGACAACAATAAAATGTGAAACCTCCCCCCCTTCCTCCCCGAGGTCCCTTCGATTGGACAGGCTGCACAAAGGAGCATTGCATACGGTCAGCCACGAGGACATCAGGGACATAAGAAAGTAAGGAACGGGCCAATTCGGTACCCATAACCCCATCTAGAAACAGACTTGTCTTTTACTTTTCTCCTTTAGGAAATCTGTTAACCTTTTTGGGGAAAAAAAAAAAAGTCAGAACAATGATTTTAAAGAAATACCGGTTAGTTCGGTTGAGTTTATTTAAATGATGTTCTTGGGCTGTCTGCCGCTGCTCTGGGAGCTGAAGTGAGAGCCAGCAGAAGATGAATGTCTGTTTGGGCAAAGTCGGTTTAGAAAGAAAGGAGTTCAATGATACCAGCAATTTTAGAAAAACTCTTTCCTCAGATTCTACAAATTGACTACTTTGAGAAGTTTCTTTCTGTTCTTGGTGGAGCGTTTGCCAAGCACATGACGTGTTCCTGGCAGTTACTTCTCCAGGAGAGTCAGTGCCTCTTGGACGCGCTCTCCTGCCTGTTGAGAGTTCCGCCTCAGCCTCACCCGTTCCCTGAGTGCTTCCCTGCAGGAGACCATTAGAACTGTTTTGTTACTAATATGCTCCTCTTTCAGACTACCTCGTATCGAGTTCTGTTCTGTCCCAGGCAGTCCTCAATGGAGGGCACACACGTTCGTCCTCACAGCCACTCCGCAGCTAGTTACCGTTGCTCTCATTTCACGGCCAGGGCTAGTCCACTCAGGGAGGCCGCTGGAGCAGCTGAGAGGATGGAACTCCAGTGTTTGTGGGAGCATCTTCACTAGCTGAGAGGTGACCCTGAGGTGGGGTCAGTGGTGCTCTCTGCATTCGATGGTTTGGAGAGAAAGCCTTTCTTGAAAGGAGAGCTCCACATCAGTGTCAGCGTGTCAGAAACAGTTCTCTGTTGCAGTGTCACCGGGAGCCTTCGTGTCTCACGCAGAATGCGTTTCCGAAGATCTGCGTGGAAGGGACTTGAAATGCTTGTTGTGTAGTTTGAAGAACGAGTGTTAAAAATGTGGAGTATTCTAGTTCACGTGAATGGAACATTTTGTTGTGACGAGGGCACTTATTAAACGTCATTTCTGTCCCTGAAGCTCAACAGGCTCGCAGGACGGCCCCGTGAGCAACCCCAGCAGTAGCAACAGTAGCCAGGACTCGCTCCACAAAGCCCCCAAGAAGAAGGGCATCAAGTCCTCTATCGGCCGCTTGTTTGGCAAGAAAGAAAAGGGCCGACCTGGACACCCCGGCAAGGAATCGTTAGGACCAGGTGGGTGGCTTCCAGCACAGGTCGTAACCACTAGGAGTGGAGTGGGGGCACTGCCCCTGTGTGCCTCCCTTGCCCCCAGTCGTTCCCACGTGTGTCTGTCGTCCGAGCTGCTGTTGTCCAGGAGCAACAGCTCGGGAGGCACGCGGTCTCCCCGGGGCTGGACGTTCGTCAGCCCCGGATAACTTAGCTGCTAACGCATGTAAAGGGTTTCCTGTCCCCCGAGCGTTTGTGTGTGGTTGTCTGGTCAGAGACTGAGCCTCTAGAATTGTTCTCATTCTGCCTGCAAATACCCTTCCACCTGTTCATGGAAACACCTCACTTGGCTGTGTTGCTTTTCTCTCACTATGTCAACCTCTCTGCCTCCTCATAGCTGGTGTTTCAGAGACAGAAAACTCATCTCAGGATGCCTTGGGACTCAGCAAATTGGGAGGACAGGCTGAAAAAAATCGTAAACTTCAAAAGAAGTAAGCTTTTTATTGTTTGTCCATCTTACTGCACAGTTTTCAGTTATACCTGATTTCTAACAATTACTTAGTAAATGTCATATCCAGCTATGTATATTATCTTCTGAAGGGTGAACCTGAAGCCTTTATTAGACTCTCCTTCCTGAAGGACTGAGAGCCTCTGTTGATGGAATGTTGAAAGGACTCACACAAGATGGATTCCAGTCCACCTTGGAAAGTTCTCTGACGAGGACACACCGTGGTTCAGAGTCAGCCTCCGTCAGAGCATTGGGATCTGAGTCCTGGCTCCTGCACACATTACTTTGGGGTGTGGGAAGGTCATCTAGCATTGCTGTGCTTCAGTTTTCTCATCTGTAAAATGGGAAGAATAGCAGTACATACCTCATGTGGCTTTTATGATATGCATACATATCTACATAAATATGCATAAAGCTCTCTAAGCAGTGCCAGCAGTTGTAAACTGTATCTCACTGTATGTATAACTACAGCCACTGCAGTGACTTGACCGCCAGCATTCAAAGTTTGCTGTTGGTACTCTGATCTGTCAGGAAATATTCGCTATGTTGCCCTTTATTTCTCCTCCAGTAGATTTTGTATTTTTATCTTAAATAGACTTGTCAATTTTGTAGTCTATTAAGTTTTGATTCTGATTTGTCTTGATTCTGAAAATAAGTGGTAATAGTGGGAATAGTTTACTACAATGGAACGCAGGCGATGTGATGCCCCAGGGTGAGGGCACAAAGGAAGTTTGTGTACATGTTTCCCCAGGTCTCCTCTGATCCAGAACAGGTTGTGTTGACCGTATGCAACACCAGAGTTACATAGATGGATGAGGTAGGCTGAGACAGTGTCCTAGTGAACTGACAACTTAAAAGTGAAACTGAATGCCCTTCTTCAACAGAAGAGGCGTTTAGTAGTCTAAGGGGTAAGCGCTGAACTTGAGAATGGGGAAGACGGTGGAGAGCCGGTACTAAGATGGTGATACTGGGCCTCGAGACCGGCTGACGCTCGGTGGGTTCTGTGCTAAATCTGACGACAAGAAAAGTCATCTGGCCACTCTCAAGCACCCTGAGAGCCCCACGGTGGTGTGGCGCCTGGGCTACAGGCACGGCCCCCAGGACCTCACTGGGGTCCAGGGGCCTTTAGCCCCTCGAGTTGCCGGTTGGTTTTCCTTTTGTGAAATCTGCCTCGTTTTAGTTCTCGTCTCAGAATCATAATAATTCTCTTGACTGGCATACTGTTGATTATATTTCAGGTGAGATGCTGTTGTTTCTGTTATTCCTCACAATACCATAGGAACACTCAGTCTTCTGGTTCCCTGTAAATGGAAATTTGTAGAAACTACTTAGCAAAATCTGATTTGAATGTTGCTATCTTTGAACTGTATAAAAATGTTTTAAAATCACTTGATTAAGTGCCATTTGCCTGTGGGAAAGTGAATGTCAGAACTAGGCTTTTTATCTCCTGGAGCCATGCTAGGACAATTTTGTCCCTTAGACTTTGCTGCTGTGTTTTAGTTCACATCCTCACAGCTACTGGAATAAAATCAGGAAGGTTTGTGGCGGTGCACCTCTGTCCTCCTCCCTGGAGTTCTATCTTCCTCCCCGGAAGTTTGTGTTCCCCGTGGGGTCACAAACTGTATAAATTTTTTTTTTTTCTTTTTTTTTTTTTAAAGATTTTATTTATTTTATTTTTTGCCCCCAAAGCCCCAGTAGATAGTTGTATGCCATAGCTGCACACCCTTCTAGTTGCTGGATGTGGGACTCGGCCTCAGGATGGACAGAGAAGTGGTGCCTCGATGCACACCCGGGATCCGAACCCGGGCCACCAGCATCGCAGCGCGCGCACTTAACCACCAAGCCACAGGGCCGGCCCACAAACTGTATAAATTGACCCAAATGTTTCACTCTGATTTCTAAATTTATTTTGTAATTCTCAGGAGGTATGCTTGAGCACTTGGCTGTGTGAAGACAGCCTTTATTATTTGTCCCAGACATGATTAAATGTCACGCGGGGGGGGGGGGGGGCCGGGGGGGGGGGGGGGGGGTCGTGCGTGTGTGCGTGCGCGCGCACGCATTGGTAGTAGGTGGGTTTCTCTGGAGCTGTAGTGTTCACACTGATGGCATCGGCTCTGAACTTCTCACTGTGTTACCATAGCTGTAACTGAGTCTAGGAGTGGGTCACTCTCTGAAATCTGTGGTCATACGTGGCAAGTTCTAGAATGTCCTAGTAAGTTGATAGGGAAAAATTCAAAGTATGAAGGTTATTTGTCTGACTCCAGTGGCTAATTTTAGTTCTCTCAGTTAACCAGAGATAAAATTGACTTTAGGAAAAACGCTTTATGTATAAATGTGGGAAAATGTTTGAGTTATCCAGAAAAAGTATTGTTTGAATATAGTTTTACATTTATGGCATTATGGATGTAAGAATCAAAATACATTTCTCAGAAATATTTCTTTTTATTAGTTACCTTAAAAGTGCGCCTTTAGCTGCTAAGGTTACACAGCCAAATGCATTCACTTTTAGAGAATTTTCAAGAACCTGGTAACTTTGGTGGAGAGCTGACTTCAAGTTTTATGCAAGTTACATAAAAGAGCGTGGTGGGCACGTTGGTGCTTGACCTGCTGAGTGAGTCTGTGGAGGACACCGCCATCGTGAAGGTAGACATCAGTAACGTTCACCCCACTTGACCGTGTTTCTGCCGTATTCCTAGACTCCCGGGTGCTGTCTGCACTCAGTCCCTTTAAGTGCCCTGCTGTTTTAAATGCTCTTTCCCGTTTCTGCCTGATTGACACTGTAGTGTGCTCTCGGGGTAAGTTGAGGTGGTGGGTTTGCTGTGCTAAGCGAGTGTTAAAACCCGCAGCCTTGGCTCTTACCAGCCTCAGCCTCTGACCTGAGCTTCCGGGGGAGTCTTGCTGGTTTTGATGAGAGCTGGTGCCTAGTACCCCGGCCTTTCCCCTCCCCGCCCCTCCTCGGGCTCTGACAGTGGGCCACACCCTGTGGCCGGAGCAGTGCTTTGCTGGGTCGCAGAGCTGTGTTTGTGACGTGAGCCCAGCAGGTGTTCGTGCAGGTGCCACAATGCTGCAGGTCTCAGCCTCAGAAGTACGAGGCGTGTGTGTCGTTTGGGTGGTACCAGTAATCTAGTGTCTGTCAGCAAAGCCCACACCACTGCTTGTCGTGAGAAATGACTACCTTTGTGCCTCTGTCTTAGTTGTAAAATGCGTGTGGTCATTCACAGATTACGTGACCTTTCTCTCGTACGTGTGCCTGGTCCCCAGGGATTTATTTAGCGTATTTCTGAACGTCTTTCTCCTCTGAGTCTGATGTTAAGGCTGGGCAGCATGCCGCCTCGATTTACTATTAGAGCAGGTATTGTAAACATCGGCCTTGGGGTCTAGACTTGATCTTAGAGGGAGAAGATCCAGTCCCAGCTGAGTAGCCCCAGGCTCTGCTGCCTGACCTTAGTGGTCCCAGTCTCATCTCTTTGCTTCTGCGGGGAGGCAGCCCTCACACTTGTCTCTCACCGAGATCACAGGTCGTAAGAGTGAGACAAAGCAGTGACAGAAAATGCGGCCTCTCCTAGCTGAGGAAGGAAATGTGTAACAGCAGAATCTAAAGGAGGCTTCTGTTTGCTTCTGGATGGTGGTTTGGGGCCGTAGAATCTGGGCAGATGGTGTACACCTTATTGCCCCAGGATATTGGCTTGTAATCAGCTTCTGCAGAAGAGTTGGATGCTTCGGGGGAGACTCATGGTGCAGAGAAATTCACAGGCGCTGGAGTCCCGCCTCCTTAGTTCTCGTGTTCTTGGCCTTGGAGCTAATGGCTGGTAGAAGGTCTCGTTCCCTGACAGTTAACTGTTGCTGAGGATTCAGCGCCTATCATAGTCATATCTCTGGTTGTGGTAACCTAGGAACAAATGGATGGTTCTGTTGATTCTTAGAAAGTGATTGAATGAGTACAGTCAGAAATGAAGGAGATGGGCTGTCTGTCTTAGGCCACTCTCAGTAGCAAACAAAGAAACGCAATTCCTAGATCCAGCGAGAAAGGAGCATATTTGTTCATGAAACGGAGCCACAGAAGGGCAGGAGTGGTGCTGGCCCCAGGCATCTCCAGGTCTGGTCTCTGCATCTTGTCGCCCTGCCCTCGGCACAGCTTCCAGGGCTGCTTCAGTCTCCTCCTCTCCCACGGCGCAGGGGCCTTCTTGACGTGATTGGAACAGTCACCCCAGAGGAGAACGGGGTGCCAGTGTTCCTGTCCGGGGTGGTGGTGCAGGGGTCAGGCTCCGTGTCTGGTCTTCTGGGTCACAGACTGGCCTGATGGGAGAGGGAGCCGGGAAGCAGAGAGAGACCTGGGCCGGCCTCCCGGCTCCTGGACTCTCCTGTGCCCTCACACTCACTCCCTGCCTCTCTTAGCTGCATCTGAGAGATGCGTCGTCCTCCTTCCATGCCTCCTGGCAGTTTCCTCAGGACGCTGGGCCTGAGCTGTAAAAGCCCAGAAGCACATCCGTGCTGGAGAAAACTTTCTGTGCAAGCCAACGACCGTTGCAGGTAGTCAGAAGGATGTGCGCCAGTCTCCACATCCTGGAGTTACCGGACCATTTTTAACCCTGTATTCCTTGTCTACAGTGAATATGTATTTCGTATTAAAGATGCAGTCTGCCAGGTGCCAGAGGCTCCCACTGCCCATTTAGTTCACTTCAGAGTGCGTGGATCTGCAAGCCCTGCTGGCCGGCAGCAGTGCCGTCCCCGCCCCTCGGCCAGGCCGGGCGGGCAGGACTCAGCCCTTGACCTGCTGTCCGAGTTCGGGTCTTGCCCTGCTCCTTCTGCCGAGGAGTTGTTTGTGTTGCTCGTGTGGCTCCTTTGGCTCACATAGGTGTTTGCATCAGATACAGCCGCTATCTTTGGAGAATTGGTCCCCAGGAAACAGAAAGTAACATTTAATTCAACACATTGAAGGTTCCTCCCACCCACTGAGGCCCTTCTTCCCCCTACTCCTTCCAGCATTGCCGTCCCGCGTCCAGGTGATCGCAGGTCCAGTGGGCTTGGCTTTTTTTTTTGTTTATGAGTGGCTTTGCTCATTTTAACTGGAAAAGTTTGTCTTTTTTTTTTTTTTTTTAACTCAAGCTATTAAGATATTTCTGGCATTCTATGGTATAATTATTCCTAGATAACTACAATATCTTATTCCCAGGAAACCTGAGGTTGACTTGAACACTTCCTTGAAATTTTATGTGAAACATTTTGAGCTTTAATTGTACATAGATGTCACATTCTTAAGAAAAGTCTAATACTGCTTGACTACATTGAGGAGCTGTTATATATCTTCAGAAGTAGAAGGTTCAGTGATATGGTCTGTAGAAATTACCACAGAGAAACGTCTCAGGGACGTCCAGGCGTATGTGGTAAATGGGCCTGTTCTCTCCACTCCAGCCCCATCTCCTCTCCTAGGCTTTCGATTTCTAAAACAGTTAGTGTCTTTTAGAAAGGCTTGTAAGGCAACAGCACAAAGACGTAAGGTAGGGTTACTAAAGCTTCTTGTGTTATCTCTTACACAACCATGTTCTCAGTAGACAGAATCATGTTTAAAGATGTTAATATGGTAAAATTACAGTTTGCTTACTCTAAAATGAGGCATACAGAGTATTTCTCATCTCATGAGGGACCCAGGACTCCTGGCTGCCTGCTGCCCGGTGGTAGCTGTCATTGCATGAACTTCTTAGGCTCACGGTCTGCCCTGAGCGTGCTGAAAGAAATGGTTGGAATTTAAATTTTCTGGGTATAAAGCCTGTGGGTTAAATCACAGAATGACCCAGTGTCTTAGTTTAGCAAATACCTAGTTCGCTAACTAGCAGCATGGGATAGAAACAGCCAAACTCCAGTCCATTACTTGCTACAGTGGGCCATCCTCAGTGTTAAAAATCTGCGCTGTTCTTGGTGTTTGTGGTGTTAAATACTGAACATCTTTGAAGCTGAACATCAAAGGCAGCCTCCACTGTCCAGACCCAGGTATGGCTTCCTCTTCCTCCGTATTTTCCCTCATTGTTTATAAAGGGAAGAGCGATTGTGTTTTACCTTGAATCCCCACCTTGGATACGAAGACTCTGCTGGGTTTTTTTAAAGTTGGTAATAATTCTTTAATTCTGCAAGGAGATGATTCTACAGAGAATCGTGTCGAGTCCGTCAGCACGTCATCCTTCAGGCATTTGTGATGTGTACCAAACCACCATTAGTGGATGGTTTAGAAGATTAAAGGAAAACGATGAGATATGTGCACTTTACTTCTGAATATTTGTAGAGAAAGAGCTCTGTTAACTTGCTTCATACATGAGTATGATGGAGATTCTTTCATTGTGACTGTCTGCTTATTCATAGGCATGAGCTGCTTGAGGAAGCCCGGAGACAAGGTTTGCCTTTTGCACAGTGGGACGGACCAACGGTTGTCGTCTGGCTGGAGGTATGACCTTTCCATCCTGGATCAAGTACGTGATTCGTGTGAACGTGTGCATCCGTTTCTCACCCTGTGCATAACCTTCTGGCCTCACGTCCCTTGTCTCCAGCTCTGGGTCGGGATGCCAGCCTGGTATGTGGCTGCTTGCCGAGCCAACGTGAAGAGCGGGGCCATCATGTCCGCCCTGTCTGACACGGAGATCCAGCGAGAGATCGGCATCAGCAACCCTCTGCACAGGCTGAAGCTGAGGCTGGCCATTCAGGAGATCATGTCCCTGACGAGTCCATCAGCCCCTCCTACGTCAAGGACGGTGCGTCTCCATAAGAGGAGTTCATACCCTATTTACGTTGCTTCTCCAGGTCTCTGGAAACACATCCAGAGTTCCAATGTAAAATTTCACCATTCAAAAGCATTACACCTTTTAATTTGTGGAAATTGGGTGGTTCAAAGATACTTTATTGAATGCTTTTGTAACAGCTTGGCTTCAGTGGCTACATTGTAATATAGAAACAGGAATTTCTAAAAACATAGAAAAGTAATGATCATAAATTTAAATATAAATTCATCCAAAGTGAAGAGAAAAGAGCTCAGATCCCCAGTTGCACTATAACTAGTGTTTTACTCTAATTTGACTTTGTGGGCCTGTTGGTGCTTCCATTGTGGGAGCTGTAGACCCTGGGAGCTCAGTGTTCTGAGCGGCCTATCAGTCTGTAGGGGGACTTAGACCAGGCATCACCTGTGCTCGTACAGTTGCTCCGTGTGCGAAGACCTGGCAAGTCCTTAGAAAGGGTCCTCCTAGTTGAAAAGGTTCAGGACTCATCTCATGACAACATTAATGGTTATTGGGAGATAAGGGCAGGCCAGCTGCTCGTTTCTGAAGTGCAGGCTCTTTACCTTGGCTCGGTTCCCACTCTGCTTTTAGCTTTTGGTCTATTCTAGAGAGAGAAACTCTGATTAAGAAACACAGAGCCTCACAGACGTACTCTCCTGAGGAGCAGGTCAGGGCCTGATTCAGGGCTCAGTTACTTTACACAGAAAGTGTTAGGAGCTTTTCTGTTTGTTGGTTTGATTTTGTCTCTTAGTAGAGAGTTGTGGTAAGGACAGTAAGCCTGTGTTCTCACCTGTTGCACAGATAGCTCTTCTCCCAGTGGCAGGTTTTGTCACGGTATCCAGTCTGGTCCCCGTTCCCCAATCGTTTTACGTTAGAGTGGCCTTTCTAGACATGAAGGTGCTGGGGTGGTTTTCCCACAGTTTGTATAAACTGTCTTCAGAAAGGGAGCCTCCTACACACTGAGTTTAATGGATGGTAAGGAGGAGCAGCCTCCCCTAGGAAGCTCCACACTGTGAGACTCGGGGTGTGGCCTGCTCCCCGAGGAGCACCCAGCGCCTGCTGGGGCCTGGCTGTCCCAGGCTGTGTGACGGTCAAGTGGTGCTGGGACTCCAGCAGGTTGACCTTGTTGGGCGTTCTTTTTGACGCACTCAGCCCCGCTCCCGACCTCTTCGTTACCCCCGGCCAGTGGTGCAGGACGAGAGGCCCGTCCCTGAGAGGCCTGCTGAGAGCCGTCTCCCGCAGTCCAGAGCCAGGCCTGGAACCACGTCCTGTGCTGTGCTTGTGCGGGCAAGGCTGTTTCACATGTATTGGATGGATGGTTACTAGAGAATCGTTCACACTTACCAGAAGTGCAAAATGTATTTTATTCTCTTTATATTTCACTACCTCAGGGGGTCAGCAGGGCCAATAAAGCTCTAGAAATCACAGGCTCTTCTTCTGTCACTGACAGCAGTGTTAATAAGGCGTGGTTATTCTTTAAAAAAGGGGCGAGCTTGTGTCGATGTTCTGTCGTTTTCTACGTGGGCATCTAAAATGAGAAGGGGGGAGATGGGCCTTCGCCTCCCAGCTCCTTCTGTGTGCCTGTGGCTCACATGTCTGCCCCCTTCCTCTCTGTCCCTGCTTGCCTGGCCCTGGATGTGGTCACTGGGTCACCCTAGACCACAGGAAATGTCTGGTTAACGCATGAGGAGATGGAAACGCTCACGGCCACGCCACGAACGGTCAGTCCCACCCCGAGCCCGTCTCCCTCTCGGTGCGTCCCCATCGTGAGCGGCGCACTTCCTGGTCTCTCTGTGGAAAACAGAAATGTCATTTACACTAAATTGTTCCGGATAAGTATTTCCTTTATGGTTTAGTTAAATGTATAAAATAGAATTCCTGTTTTGTCTTATTTTAGATTTTTTTCCAGGAACTTTAATTTGGTAGGCCCATTCTATTTAGAATAGATTTCATTCACACGTCCTTTAGGGAGAGGCCTCAGCTGAGCATTTTGATGCTCTGCCCCAGTTTTCTCCTTTATGGGTGTGCTTGCCGTGGGAAGTCGGCTCCTTGCATGAGAAATGGGAATTGTTGGTTTTGCATGAGTTTTGCATGATGCCTTGATTTTGTGAACTTTTCCCCTGGGTCAAGCTGCACCCTCCCTAAAGTTAATCTGCTTGCTTTACTAAGCTCACCAATACTAATAGTTATGTTCTTTTGCATTCCTAACCACGTAACATCAGGAAGATGAGGAGGGAAGCTGGGCTCAGGTTGGAGACTTTCTATAATATATTCTTCACCCTATGTACAGCAACAAAAAGAATTGGAGTATGAAAACTTGTAATTGACTTTTCTTGACGTTTTTAACATCTTAATTTTTATCAGAACATTGTTAATGATTTGAAAGCGTTAGAAGCAGAGCGTAGAATTAAAGAGTACGTCTCATGGACAATTTTGAACATTTCTCGTATGGAGCCATGGTAGTTCATTCTAATTAGCATAGATGGCTTTGTGTAACATACAGTCTTCTGTGCTAACTCTTGTGGCTTCGGCAGCTCCTGAGATCATGTGTTTAAGTCCCTGGTGGGGTAACTTGAATCACAAGGTCTACTGATGGGAAAATCGTATTCTAATAACTTCCCAGGACAAGAGTTGGCATGGAGACTTTACCTCTCTGTCTTCGTGTTGGTGTTTTACTAAGTACTGTCCTAATACTGTGTTGATCTACAGGCTTTCTTATTAATGGAATTCTCAGGAATTAAGCCTCTTCTCGCTTAATATACATTTGAGTTTCCAGCTCCCCAGCTGTTCTTCAAGTCACAAAAAGCTGTCCCACCTGTCTTGTAGCCTTACTTTGAGACAGCGTGACTAGAAAGAGCAGTTTCCCTACCTGTGACTCCACCAGCATTGCTGTGTCACACGCCAGGCGTTGGAGCCCCAGATCGAAGGCTGCAGGGGGCAGACAGGCGGGTTCTCCTGAGGCCCTCACTAACAGCCTGGCATTCAGGGACCTCACAAGGATGATTGTGTATCTGGGAAAAATCAAAATAATTTCAAATCAGGATTTTCCTGATTACAAGTTGATGGTTGAAACACCGGTTTCCCTCTATTTGTACTCCTAAAGTAAAGCCAGTTCTATCTATTTTTTTAACGAAAGAGGAGAGTAGTTGTAATATGATACTGTGAGCTGAGGATTTAGGCCTCTGTGCCACTCCTCCAGATAAATCTCCTCATTAATGATTTAACCTAGTCGTAGATATCTCTTGACGAGGCCAATGATGACCATCAGTCGATTAAAAAGGGTGCGTTTCGTAATTACTTAAATGTCAGTGTATTTTACACTGAGACGCAGAACTTTGTCACCACTTCAGTATGCAATTCTCTGCGTCAGGGGCACGAGGAGTAAATTGAATGAGCTGAACGTTTGCTTTCTGCAATGGAAATATAAATAAGGTTGAGTTGTGCTGATGCCACCAGAACGTTCAGTCTTCAGCATAAGCAAGAGCCGCTTTCGCTGGCCCCTCCACCAAATGAGAGGAAAATGAAGCGGCTTCCTGGTCTCTGAAACTGCCAGGTGCTGCCAAGGGCAGAAGTCACAGTGCTCCTTTCCTGTGCTGTTACCTGGTGGCCAGCTCTCAGGCCAAGGGGAAGTTGGAGATTTCCTCGGGCGCTCGGGAGGAAAACGTCAAGGTTTGGTCAAAGCCGTGGATGCCTTCATTTAGCAAGCAGCATCGGTGGGCTGTCTGTGTGGGACTGAGCTGCTTGCTGCAGACGCAGAAGTGAAGGGACAGCCACAGTCCCTGCCGTCAGCCCTCCCACTCTACAGGGTTCACAAAACTGCATCGTATTTGTGATCATTTCAGTGATGGAAAAGTAGACCCTGTGCAGTGGCGGTCTCTTCTAGCCCACACGTTCTCTGACCGTGAGAGACCCCTGTCGTGTGCTTTTTTCAGAGGGCTTTGCTGGCAGCCCAGGAGATGTAGGGCTCCCTGGGACCGAGCCTGATCCTCGGTTATTGACCTACGTTGTCTTCCATTATTGACCGCTTCAGAGGTGTGACTAGAGTATATAGTGAGTAAACAGAAATAGGGAGGGTTCTGCTTCCATGGAATTCTCTATTTAGAAATTTCTTTGCATTTTGTGCCCATTTAAACATACACAATCAGCAAGCAAGAAAATGATACCAGATGTTCATGCATGAGGATCAGGCTCATGACGTGAGAGTAAGGTTTGAAAGAGTGAACAACATGATAGTGTGATGATTTCCCAAAAATGTTTGATGTTTTCCCCACTCGTGGTTGTTTAGAGAAAATAGGGAAATATTTTTTTCTATTAGAATTTGAGCATTCTTGTTGGAGTTTGAGTCGTTTCTTCTGGCTCGGTTTGTTTAAATAATAGATAAGAGGCCATACTTTCACGACAGAACATGGTGGTAGTTGAGAGTTACCATTTCCAAGGATTCCATAATGCAATTACAGAATTCCTGTGAATGTAGCTGAGTCTTCTTGGATTGAGGTACAATAAGTGCCTTTTTTTGATTCTATGTATATACATATAACGTGTTTGTTTCTTTTTCATTGTACAAATCTTGTACATCTTCTGTTAGATTTATCCCTGAAGATTTCATGATTTTGATAACATTATAAATGGTATTTTTAAAATTTCAGTTTCCAGTTCATTTCTAGTATTTAGAAATACAGCTCATTTTTGTATATTGACCTTGTTTCCTGCAACTTTGCTCAAGTCTCTTTAGTTCTGATAGCTGTTTTCTAGGTTCATTTTCTGCATTGCTAATCAGGTCATCTGCAAATAAAGATAGTTTTCTTTTCCAATTCATATGCTTTTGATTTCTTTTTCTTGCCTTATTACAGTGGCTAGGAATTCAGTGCAGTGTGAATAAAATTGGTGAGAGCAGACATCCTTTCCTTGTTCCTGATCTTAGGGAGAATGCATTCACTCTTTCACCATTAAGTATGGTGTCAGCTCTGTATTTCTTGTAGATGCCCTTTATCAGGCATCTACAAGAGGCCGTTTTCATCCATTCCTAGATTGCTGAGTTTTCCATAAATGAATGCTGAATTTTGTCAAATGCCTGTTCTGCATCTTTTGAGATGATATTGTGATTTTTCTTTTGAGTCCATTGATATGATTAGTTTCATTGATTTTTCCCATGTTGACCCAACCTTATGTTCCTGGGATAGAGCTTGTCATGATATCTTATTCTTTTCATTTATTATTGATTTAATTTGCTGATATTCTGTTGAGGAATTTTGCATGTTCGTCTTTGAGGGATATTGGTCTGTAGTTTTCTTGTAATATGTTTGTCTAGTTTTGGTGTCAGGATAATGCTGGCCTCGTAGAATGAGTTAGGCATTTTTTCTTCACTTTTTTGGAATAGTTAGTGTAGAATTGGTCTTTTTTTCATAAATGCTTGGGAGGATTCACCAGTGAAGCCATTAAGGTAAAGATTTTGTGTGTGTGAGAGAAGAGAGAGTTTATAACTACAAATTCAAGTTCTAATAAGGTACAGGTTATCTGTTTCTTACTGAGTTGCTTTCATAAATTATGTCTTTCAAGAAATTTGCCCACTTTGTCTCGGTTGCTTAAATTTGTTCCAAGTTTTCCCTTTCAGTGTCTATAGGATCTGTACTGTTGTCCCCTTGTTCATTCTTTTTTTTTTTTTTTTGTGAGGAAGATAGGCCCTGAGCTAACATCCATGCTAATCCTCCTCTTTTTGCTGAGGAAGACCGGCTCTGAGCTAACATCTATTGCCAGCCCTCCTCCTTTTTTTTCCCAAAGCCCCAGTAGATAGTTGGATGTCATAGTTGCACATCCTTCTAGTTGCTGTATGTGGGATGCGGCCCCAGCATGGCCCGAGAAGCGGTGCGTCGGTGCGCACCCAGGATCCGAACCTGGGCCGCCAGTAGCAGAGCGCGCGCACTTAACCGCTAAGCCACAGGGCGGGTCCCGCCTCATTCATTCTTGATTTTGGTAATTTATGTCTTTTCCTTTTTCTTAGTCACTCTGGCTAGGGGTTAGTCAATTTTATTGATATTTATGAAGAAGCAGATTTTAGTTTCATAGTTTTATTTTTCTTGTTTCTGTGTCATTGAGTTCTGCTCTTTTATTGTCTTCCTTTTGCTTGCTGTGGGTTTCATTTGTTCTTCTTTTGCAAGTGTTTTAAGGTACAATCTTAGAGTATTGTTTTTTTTTGTTTTTTTTGTGTGTGTGTGTGAGGAGGACCAGCCCTGAGCTAACATCCAATGCCGATCCTCCTCTTTTTTGCTGAGGAAGACTGGCCCTGGGCTAACATCCATGCCCATCTTCCTCCACTTTATATGGGACACCGCCACAGCATGGCTTAACAAGCGGTGCGTCGGTGCGCACCCGGGATCCGAACCGGCGAACCCCGGGCCGCCGCAGCAGAACGTGCGCACTTAACCGCTTGCGCCACCGGGCTGGCCCCTTAGAGTATTGTTTTGAGACCTTTCTTCATTTATAACGTAAGTGTTTGATACTGAGTTTCCCTCAAGGCACTGCTTTAGCTGTGTCCCACAGTTTCTGAATATATTGTGGTTCCACTTTGATTCAATTAGAAATGTTTTCCCATTTCCCGGTGTTTTCTCCTTTGGCACATGGGTTATTTAGAAGTGTGCTAATTTCCCAATATTTGGGAGTTTTCTAGGTATCTTTTTATTAGTGATTTCTAATTTAATTCTGTTGATGTCAGAGAGCATAATTTGTATTGTATGATTTCAGTCCCTTTAACTCTGTTGAGGTTTGTCTTGGAGAATGTTCCAGATGCACTTGAAAAGACTGTATTCTGCTGTGTTTGTGTGGAGTATACTATGAATTGTCAGTCAGGTCAAGTGGTTGGTCGTGTGGTAGAGCTTTTGTCTGTCTGTTTTGGCTTCTGTGTTCACTCAGTTATTGAATCAGAGAGGAGGGTTGAGGTCTTGGGACTGTAATTGTGGATTTGTCTGTTTCTCCTTTCAGTTCCGTTGGTTGTTGCTTTGCTTATCTCTTCTTTTAAAACTCTTTTTCAATTCACTTTTTACACTGATTTTGAAATTAACAGATGTTTTTTGTTAAGGAAATTTGGAAAACAAGTATTAAAAATTAAAACCATCCGGAGAGATTTTTGAGTAGAGTTGGATTGTTCCTTCAAACTTGTTCATGAGTCGTGATCATTCTTTGTTGTTCTACTATTCTATATAAAAACTGTTTCAGAAAGATCATGTGTAGTCAGTTACATTTTTATTGTGGTTTGGTAGATAGGTTAAATTTATAAACACAAATGAATCATAGGTTTTCAATGGTATAATTCCTTTTGTATAAAATTTTACTAACAAATTTAAGAGGTAGTAAATAGGAGATCCAATTATTTTGAAATTATAAAGAACAATGTTGTCATTAGTTAGTTTAGCCTTTAAGAATACGTAATAGGTAAAAAAAAATCCAGTTTAAAGATGATTCAAACTGCCCTTGTGACATCTTCCGTGGATGTTTTCCTACACTGATGGCACTTAATCATTGAAAGCAGACGCTCGCGTACGGGGACATGAACCACGAGTGGATCGGCAACGAGTGGCTGCCCAGCCTGGGCCTCCCGCAGTACCGCAGCTATTTCATGGAGTGCCTCGTCGATGCGCGGATGCTGGACCACTTGACCAAGAAAGACCTCCGAGGGCAGCTGAAGATGGTTGATAGTTTTCACAGGTAAATCGTTGCAAATAGTTCCTGCTAGTTTGCTAAGAGGTTTTTGACTGTTGCCATCTCTAAGTTTTTTTTTTTTTGTAAATAGGAACAGTTTCCAGTGTGGAATTATGTGCCTGCGAAGGTTAAATTATGACCGAAAAGAACTGGAAAGAAAAAGAGAAGAAAGCCAGAATGAAATAAAAGGCTAGTACCTTATGTTTAATTGATTTAGCTTATTTCTGCTTCCCAGTGTATTAGGATCCTCAGTGATTTCCTATTTTTTAAAAAATTAGAAAATGCGTTAAGTGGGAAAACTAGTCTGGCATCGTTCCAGAGGAGGGAGGGACGGAAATGAGTACTTTCAAGATCCTCCTCTGTAGCCAGAGAACATGTGCCTATTTCCTTGAGCTTCCGTCCATCTGTAGGGTAAACGTCTCAAGGTGAGCCTTTCTCCTGTGACTGTTGTTCCGACACGTGTGCTCCTTCACTTAGAAACGCTGCTACACACTGTTAGGTGACAGCAGAGCAAAGAACAGGACTCTGCAGTGTGCTCACGTGGTTTAAGTGTGAAAAGACTGCTCTAGCATTCATCAAAGGCCTTCAGGAGCACAGGACGGAGCAGTGTGGTTCTGCTCCCAGGGCTGAGGGGGCGGCACGGGGTTACCGTCTCAGCGGGGCCTGAAGACAGTGGGGAGCTGCTTAGCAGGGGAAGATGGCGACGGCATTTCAGTTGAAGACGGGTGGGGAGATGTAAGAGGACACGGGGTGTTCAGCCAGAAGGCGGAGGTGCTCTCCGTCCAGGACCTTCTCACCCAGCACTCCTCAAAATGATCAAGGACAATAGTTTGCTTTTAAGTAAGACGTTAACAATAAGCTCAAAATAAAATCTCCCAGAATTTTCGCAATATAAACAAATCACTGACAATAGTGATAATAATCAATAAGACTTACTGAAGAACTCCAGGCACTTTCAGAGGTCAATTGTTTGATCTTTACCACAGCCTTGTGCGCGTTAAGTGCCCTCTTCATCCCCGGTTCTTACCAAGAGAGAATTGAAAGACAGAGACGTGGTTGAGGAGCTGGCCCATTTGAAGGATAGTCTGGTCACGATTGAGTTAATGTGAATCCTGAGAAAAACTAGAAGTCAGCATTTCTACCATATATATAGTATAAAAGGGCATTGGAAATGAAATGTGTAAATCAGTTTTGTTTTCTGTATCCATTTTAAATCTTTTTACAGTTGACAAAAGCTGTCTGAAAGTAATTGGTGATCATCTGGATGTATTTTTACAGAGTGGCTATTTTTAGATCTCTACTAGAACAAATTTAATAATTTATTACTTTGTGTAATAGAAGATCTTCCCCCAGTCTCTAATGTGCTGGACCATATCTTTAAGTTTCTGTCTTTTTAAAGTGAGACAACAAAAAAGGCTTCAAGGAAAAAAGCTTCAAGATTATAAAGGAGAGGTTTGTGTTGAATTGGGCAGGGTGTCCAGATACGGCGCCAGCTCCTTCTATCATGAGAAGAGAGTATTTCAGAAACTCTGAAGGGTCTATATGAAATGTGTTCGTTCCTGGTGGGCCTTCAGATTCTTCTGTGTCCTTTTCGTTTCTAACCCTGGATCCTCATCATTTTCTGTTCTCTAGAAAGTACACATACATCAAAACCTCATTCCTCTGGGGTTCACTCGGAGAATGAGTTCTGATGGGTCAGTTTCCATCAGATGGCAGAAGGGCCAAGCCATGAATGTCCCGATGCAGCGAGTGGTTGCCCACCTGCTTTCCCTCTCCTGTGTCGCAGGGTGTGCGTGAGGGAGACAGCTTTGTGAAGCCGCCATCGTCGTTGTTTCTGTTCCTCTGCAGACGTGCTTGTTTGGAGCAATGATCGAGTGATTCGCTGGATCCTGTCGATCGGTCTGAAAGAATATGCCAACAATCTCGTGGAGAGTGGCGTTCACGGTGCCCTGATGGCCTTAGATGAAACCTTCGATTTCAACGCACTGGCGCTCTTGTTGCAGATCCCTACGCAGAACACACAGGTGTGTCCCAGAGCCAGCCCAGGGCTCCACCCGGCGTTTAGTCGGCTCTCCCGACAGAGACGTGCAGCTGCATGACTGCGTGGAGGCAGAGCTGGACAACCTCAGACACCCGGCGGTCTCCTTCTGTGCTTGACCACAACACAGAGGCTCAGGACCAGCAGGCTTCACTCTCCACTACCCTTGCCCGTCCTCCTCCCGTTTTCTCTTGCAAGGGCGAGAGTCTCGCAAGAATCAAAACAAGGGGAGACTTCATTCAAGTCCGTACGCTGGTAACAGGGACACGTGTTTAGTTCTTACGTGGAAAGAGAACCACTCATAAGTTTGCCAGGTGGAGAGTTTACTAACTTTTATTCTAGGGGTGGTTGCCGGGCATAGTTCTTTTTGACTCATGGGCTTATCTAAGAATCAGGAAATCTTTTATTCTTCTACAGAAGATTGTATGTCTTTTACCAGTAAACCCCCAGTCTCCCCACCAGCACCAACCCACACGGCACACTTTTGTAGATAATTTCCAAGAGATCAGGGATCCCTCTCCCTAAAAGCCCATCCATGGACTCCACATTAAAACCCCTAATTTAACATACTACCATGGCTCAAGGCGTTTATAGCTTGAGGTTTTTTATTAAAGTTTAGGTTTGAAAAACAGTTGTGGTATGCTAACATCCTTCACATGAGATTGATGAAAGCTCTGGGATATCGTTGTTTTGCTCTGGTTTCAGGCTCGTGCTGTCCTGGAAAGAGAGTTCAACAGCCTCTTGGTCGCGGGGACTGACAGAAGGTTTGATGAAGTGAGTTTTCAGCCTCCTGATTTCTCAGTTTGTGTTAGATGTAAATTATCTGCTATACTCGTGTGAGCCCTATAGTCAGGGTGTCTCTTCTAAATGTGGGGGTAACCTTACAAGTTAACCTTTGCTCTTAAAAATGTATTAACAAATGAACTGTTAGTCAACTAATGTTTTCAGTAAGAGGTTTTTTGTTTGTTGTTTTAAGGTTTTGCTATTTAACTTTTGATACCCCTCAAAAATGTTTTTCACATCAGAAAATACTGGTTGCAGCCTAGGAATGGAGGCTCTAAGTTGTGTCCTGGGGGCAGCTGGATGTTTTACCCCAATCCAGAGCCCCTGAGTTTTGGGGAAATGTTTCAGAACTATAGTAAAAACAAAACAAATTGTTAATTTCCTCTTATATAAAATTATGACTCCCTTATTCCCACACTGTTTATTATTTCCTTCATTAGACCTTGAGAAAATTTGATTTGACAAGACAGTAGACGGACAGCTAAAGAAGCACTTGCTGGCCCTCTCCCAGCTCTAAGACAGAATTGTTTACAGCTTGGATACTGTTTTTAAGACAAATAAAAATGTATTATCTTATATAGCAAGAAGGTGATTTCTTCAAGATAAGAAGCGAAACACGGTGATCAGTACGAGGAACACGCACCCGGGTGGCCCAGGGCCGTCCTAGTCCTACCTGGTTAGGGCCCCAGCCTAAGTGTTACCCTGCCTGTCACTCTCAGAAGTTCCCAGTTTGGGCGCTGAATCCCGTAGTTGTCAAGAACGGGGTTAAGTACCTGTGAACAAAAACGCCGTGACAAGGTCAGCAGCCATTTGAAGGGCTGGTAACTGTGCTGTCTGCTTGTGTCCTTCAGTGTACGATCAGCCCTGGTTCTGTCCTTTAATCCCCCAGGACGATGACAGAAGCTTTAGGAGAGCGCCTTCTTGGAGAAAAAAGTTCAGACCGAAGGATGTTCGTGGCTTAGCTGCGGGGTCAGCAGAGACTCTGCCCGCAAACTTCCGGGTCACTGCCTCTCTGTCCTCGCCCTCCATGCAGCCCAAGAAGACGCAGCTGGACGGTACGTGGCGCAGCGCCCAGCCTCCCGTGGGCAGCACGAGCAGCTTTTCGGCTGGAGCCTTAATAATGGTGTAGAATGGCCAACTTAATATGCTACAAGGCGTCTGAGTACTGCTGCGTGCCCAGGTTTAAATGTTTTACAGTTATTCCTAACATCTGTTCATAAAAGTTCAACAATAATATAGTATCTTTTTGAGATTCCTGTCTGGTTGAATATTAGCGTATTCTTCCAACTAACAACGCTCACCATCGTGTGTGTTCTCAGCGCGTTAGGTTGTCGTCCGTTCCTGTAGAGCTGTGCGTGTGACAGGCCACGCTGTGAGGCTCTGTCATGCAGCGGTAGTGCAGGAGTTTCCAGACCACGTCGGTTACTCCTGGGGCCTGTCTCGAGGCTGGAAAATGACCGAGGCCACTTTACACAACACACGGTGTCCACCTCTGTGCACTCTGCCTCTCCTTTCTTCCCTGCGTCCCCACTGTCCCTTGTCCCTGTCGTTAGACTTTGTACAGACGGAGACAGGGAAGAAGGGGAGCCTGGGTGCAGCACTGGAGGTGGCCGGTCCTGTGGATCCCCCAGCTCTGCCGTTGTAATTTCAGATCAGGCCGGTGGTTTCCCGTTGCCCACTGCGCTTGAGAACAGTTAGTAGTTAGGACTTGGCCGTGGTTACTGACAGTGTCCCCACGCGATGACAGGATCAAGAGCCAGGCTGCTGGGTTGGAATCTGGCTCTCCCACTTAGGAGGTGCACAGCCTCGAGCACTGCGCCTCAGTTTCCCCGTCTGTAAAACGGTTGTCATAATAGTGTCTTCCCCATCAGCTGGTGGTGATGGTTAAATGACTGATTCACATAACGCTCTTAGAAAGTGTCCACACGTCCTAAGTCCTGTGTAAGTGTTAGCACTGAGGGTCACTGTGGTCATCTTCCTTTACAAGTGACGGCACTCTCGTTTTTGAGGCAGGTGGACAGGCTGTAGGAAAGGAAGTGGCTTTAGAAATTGTACTGAGGTGGCTTGTACAGTTTTTCCTGTTATTAGCCCTTCCCATAAGTAGGTTTATAAGTGTTGCTCTCATTTGCCTATATCAAAATCAGTGAAAAGTGCATTTCTAGAAAGCCTTTGCTCACCTGGAGACTTTGGCTAGGACGGCTTACAGAGCAGCATTGTGATTAGAAAGCTGCATGTCTTTGCAGCATTCAGTAATATGCTTAATGGGGAAAAAACAGCAACTTGTTAAAAAATAGCATTTTTCTTCCAAGGAGCTTGCAGATAATTTTTATAAATTTAACTGTAACTTGGCCTTCAACTTACTGAATAGTCTAAATGAGTCCTTTCTTATTTGCCTCATAGCTTCATTTCCATCTTCCTCATTATAAATCACCTTTTCCCTGTTAAAGATTAACAGCGATATTGAGATTAGAGGTTACATAAATTAAAAATAAACCTAGAAAAAGGTGTAGGGAATATATTATATGGAAGATGACTTTTTACCCTTATATGATAACTAAGGCATAAACCTGGTAAAATGGATTGTTTTAATGCCTTTTTAAATAAGGGACTGTAAGGTAAATTGCAGCAGGTCTCCTGGGATCTTAGAATCAGAGGATTTCTAAAGATCATCCATTCTCACCAACAATACAGCTGTCTTAATGTCTCTTCTAGAACGATGGCAAACTGTTGATAAAATGTGTTCCTGGTGTAGCCGTGGGAAAACAAAAAATGTATAATTGGAAGTTGTGAATATCTGCTACCGATTTTTGAAAATTTCTCATCCAATTTGCAAGGGAAAATTGGGGCTCACCTCCTGGACCATGCAGTGTGTTTCTTGACAAGAACACATCATCAGTGGACACATTGTTTGGGTAGAAACTGAGGCTGGGCTTCAGTTTTCTTAGATGAGTCACTGTCCTCTGCCCAGCCTGGCAGCCCCACCTCTGGGAGATCCACTGGACGCTCCTGGGGAGGGCAGGACGTGCTTCCCAGGCAGCTGCAGAGAGCGGGTGAGAGGCGTCCCTTCTCCCTCTAGGCCAGGCCTGTGTCTGATTCCATGTACCTGTGCCCTCAGCGGGCTGGTCACATCTCACGTGCCCCTGGGTTAGTCACCTCATACCATCCTTAGGGATGCAGTATTTAGGGCCGAAAGAAAAGTCTAGGTGCTCTACAAACCTAGAGGGTCTAAGGAGAAAAAGTTGCAGTTGTGTAGTTGTCTTTTACACAGACGGACAGCAGGAAACCGTTTATGTCACCCAAGGCGTCACTGCTATTTTGGGGTTAACTCCGTGTGACCCCCAGGGCTGCCTGAGATGAAGGGAACCCCCATGTGGCGACACTTAGATTCTCCTTCTCTGGCTCTCCACTCCCACTCCCCCTCTAGAAGTTTCCCTGGAACCCTCAGTAGGTGCTGTTGTAGGTGTGAAAATGTGTCTGTACTTGTGCCCCATGTGACGTTTGAACACTAACCGCACGCTGTGTTTGCACGCTTCCTCTCGTGGGTGTCGGACAGGCAGTGTGTCAGGAACGCAGAGGCTGGATTCTGCCGCAGTCAGGACTTACTCCTGCTGACGCGTCCGTCGGTGAGTAGAGAGCCACGTGACCGAGCCTGTGCTGGGGTGGCCGAGCGTCCAGATGGTGCTGCTGGCTTTGCCGGGACGGCCCAGCTCAGTTAGCATGGGAATTTACAGAATAGACACGCACGAGCCCCTCTGCACCCACACGATGATTTTGGGGTTCTCTACGCTCACAGTTGACCATGAGGAGGTTTGTGTGTCCTCGTTTGTTAAGGAAAGAAACGTGTTTCCACTTAAACCTATGAGTGCTGGTTTATTTTAAGTGTCTGTTAACGTCCTTTTGGGGTGGGGAGGCAGGAGAGCAGAGCGTGGTGGGAGAAGACTGGCTCAGCTCTTAGCTGTGGCCACCAGGGGTTAAGAGCACCAGGCACAGTGTCTCTCCCCTTTGACATTGACGTCCACACTGGGCTAGCTGACTTTGTTAGAAATACCCATTCTCGAATAAAACAAGCCCCGAAGTGTTAAGTGTCATGAGGCTGTACCACTGTGTGACGCTAACAGCCTTTCCGAGCAGAGATGGGTTTTGAAAAACAAACCCGCGCTGCCCTCACAGGAATGGAGTTACTGAGTGACCCGCCTTGCTCTGAGGGTGGTGGTTTGGGGCGCGGGCCCAGGAGCCCAGCCCTCCTCTCGTGGCTCTGAGGGCCTGGGGAGGGAGGGAGCTTCTGCTCTGCCCTCTTTTCCTGTCTCAGCCGGAACACTTGATTGGTATCTTAATCTTTTTTTTAGTTGGTAACTTGTAGACACATGCCAAACTGAAGTCAAGGAAGAATTCCCTCGTTGACACGCGTGGTCCTTGAGATGTTAGCTAAACTGTCAGAGCAGCTGCAGCGCAGAAAGTGGGGGAGGCTCGGGGGGGCTTGGGCGGAGCTCGGGCCCTGAGGTCACAGGTCTTCACTGGGGTGGCCTGTCTGTCTGAAGACTGACCCTTCTGTTTGTGCTTGTCTTCCAGTTTACCCACACTACTTCTACAGATGACCCGCAGCGCTCTGAATCCAACAAAGACGGCATTTTAGAATTCAGTGGAATCTTTAATCTGTTAATACTTGTTATATGGACCCTAAGATATTTTATTACAGAGTTTTTAATTAGTGAAAAATTCATGAATACCATAGAGAAAATATTTTAGAATTTAATGTTTCTTATATTTATGTAAACATATGACTTCATTGATATAGTTACTTACTTTTTCATGTATATCCAGGCTATAAATATCCTTTCAAATCGATTCTGTTCTTATATCTAATTTTAGTCTTTCAAATGAATGTACTGTAATGCCTGTATGTATAAATCCTATGAAAAAATATAGGGCTTTTGTAAATCGTGCGTTTATTGTAATTATCATTAATTTTTTAATAATAATCCATGAGAGAAAAGGATTTTACTGCGTTTGTGCGATCATCATGACACGGTGTGCATTATCCTTACAAATGTAACCAGCTCTACAACAATCATTTTGAAATAAGCAGACTTAATTTCAAGCAATTGTTGTATTTTAGTGACCTACCTTACTGTACTTTTTCTAGCAAGAAATGCTTTCTTCTGCAGCGTGAACAGGTTAAAAGTATGTGGTGTTAAATATCAGCTTCTAATCAAGTTTGGGCTGAAAGGATTATCAGAACACTATGAACCTCTCTGAGGGCCGGGTCACTTGCAGAGCCTCGTCCCTGGGGACTGGGCTGGCTTGTCGTCGGTGGCCGGCGGAGGCCAGGAGCTGGAAGGACGGACCTGGGTGGGGGAGCCTGGGGCCCACCGCAGCCTGCACCCCCCCGGCTCTGCTCCCGGACGCAGCGTTCGCCCACCCAGCTGCCCTTCGAGGACCAATCAGGAAGCACCGTGCGCTCTCTGCAAAGACGCTGGTGCACAGAGAAGATGAAGGCACGGGGTCCTGGAGATGATGTAGTGCAACTCTACTAAAGCCTTATTTTTTCTTCTGTAAATCATCTTTTTACGTTTGTTTGTCAACATGTTGAAAGGATGGACCTAGTGGTACATTTTTAGATTTTGATGCTCTAGCCGTTTTGGACTGTCCAAGTAGCAATTGTAACTTTTACTTTGTAAATGGCACATTGAAGAGCCAGCCAGCAATGTGTTCAGATCACGGTGCGTTATTTATTATACAGCTGATTTATACGGAGAGAAGACGCGTCTTTTTACATTTGTTTCTGCCTTTAATTTCCTTGTACGATTCATTGTTACTGTTCTGTTTTTCTATTAATCTTTTGTGAACTTCCTGATTCTGTAACAAAGTGTGTACAGTCTACTTTTGAACTATTTTTATCACAGTATTATTTATTGCTTTCTTTCAATAAAGTACTGAAGCATTTTCCACTGCCAATAAAGAATACTGGGAATAAGCAGTAATTATATTAAAACTTGGCTGCAGCCGTCTTACCTCACGCTCAGGTGATAACTGGGGGCAGCGTCATCATGTGGACATTCCTGTAGAAACCAGTTGATAGAAGACAAAGTCTGGGAGACGGAAGCATAGGATGAGGACGAGCAGGTGGTTCCCGCCCTCGCTTCTGGTGGCCCAGGCGCTATCTCATCGCTTCCTGGGGGACCAGGCCCTGGAAGAGTCACAGACCCTGGCGGTCCGGGAGCCTGTTGTCCGCTGGCTCAGACGAAGTCCTCAGCCGTGAGCCAGTCCAGCGTGGCAGAGGAGGGCACATGCCGACGAGCCCAGGCAGGCAGGGCTGTCCAAACCGAAGGGCTGAGGTTGATTCCCGGGTGGAAAGAGCGGGACCAGTGGGTGGCGGCTCGCAAACGGCCGCTGCAGGCAGCGCCAGGACCAGAGCCCCGGATGCCCCGGCGCCCAGGTACTGTCTCCCCCTCCCGCCCCACTGCAGTATTGCCGGAAAGGCTGGGGATGCGCGAGCCCGGTGGCAGCCTTTTTTCCTGCATTTCCTAGTTCTTGGGTTCACTTTAGGGTGAGACATAAAACCATGCAGTGCTTCCCTGCATTTTCATCTAACGCTCTGTTCGCCTGAGCAAAGCCAGGCCAGCCTTGGGTAGCTTAAAGCTTCTGGAAACAAACCACGTCATTGATTCATTAAGTTGCAGGTGTTTTATTAAAACTATTCAGTGATTCCATTTATGCCTTTAAAAAAGGCCCTTGGAGCAATACCCAGCGTCAGCAGTGAGGTGTTTCAGCGATTTTGCTTCTAAGCACACTGGTCAGCCACACCTCTTCTGTCCTCTCGTCTCACAGTAAATGGGCAGCCCGGAGCCGGGAGGGCATGGGAGCCACCCCGCAGCCAGGTGTGGTCACATTACAGGCTGTCTGGACTCTTCTCACCATGAAAAACTCTGTTAGGGCTACTTTAGCCTCATACTTGCTGCCCTTAAGTTTCTCTTTTCAAGTTTCACATCATGCATTTTAAGGTAATTGTGGGTTTGGGGCTTTTTTGCTAGCCAAGTCCTGTCCTCATCCGGGACGGGTTTCCCGGGGTCTGGGGAAGAGGGCGTCTTCCCTGTATCCTCGGCAGGTGGGGGGAGAGGTGGGTATCCAGGCGCTGTGGCTGCTTTTCTGACTCCCGAGGGCATTCCTGCATCTCGCGGAGACTTCTGTGTCTGACGTTTCCTTAGCTTAACTCCTTGGGGAGAACGAGGAGCCAGTGGTTTTGCCTCCTTGTGTCCTTGACTCGGGTGCACCTTTCGAGTCCTGTTGTTGGAGGCCAGCAGGCTGTGCGTCTCTCCTTGGCTGTGGCCACTTCCCTTCCGTCATGGCCTCTGTCTTCACGCGGCCCCTCTGTGTCGTATCTTCTGTCTGTTGTGAGAAGACTTGTCACTGGCCCACCCAGGTAATCCAGGATGATCCACCTCCAGACCCTTCACATAATTACATCTACAGAGACCCTTTTCAAAATAAGGTCCCAGTCACAGGATCCAGGGCCTTGGGCGTAGACACATCCTTGTGGGGCCGACATTCAACCCACTCCCCCATTTGACACTCTGGAGAAGTGCTGCCCTGCCCGGGAGATAGCGGGATGGGTAGACCTGGTCCTACCCCAAGCAACCCACCCTCTAGTGGGGTCATGACTCCCAGTGTCACGTAAAGGGCACCGTGAGCCAAGAGAGGGAGCGATGACAGCCGGGAACAAGCACCTGTGCCGACATATCTGGGGCGAGGGCTGTTCCAGACCTTCCCAGTGTCATGGTGGGCTGGGGCAGAGACTGACTGAGATGAACGCAGAGGACATTTCAACATAATCAAAACGGGTTCGACTTCCAGGACAGTTACTCTTTGTACTTGAGTGTGCAGAGTGTCACCAAAATTAGGCGGGGTGGGGGGTCCACTCTATGAAAAAGCAATTCAATAATCACTCATTGGGGACTGACTCCATACCAGGTACTTCGAGGTGCCAGGGAGACAGAAGACAGACTGATTCTGCCCGTCCTGCATGAGAGAACATCTCTAACCCTGTACATCCAGGGACTTCAGCTGTGCTGTGATGTCGCAGCGGAGGCTGCACTGAAGGGAGGGAGAAGGGGCTTTGGGGAGACCTGCGTCACATAACTTTGGATGCTGAGAACTGTGTTCGTGTTCACTCCACATGTGAGTGTCGACGGTGAATAACGCGTGTGTGGTCCCCAGACACGGTTTCCAGGACAACAGTGCAAATCAACCTGTTAGGTGGCACCTCGCTTCCTCCAGGGACTGCTCTTGCACAGCAGCAACTGTGACTTGACTCCTTCTGCATGTTTGAAATAGGTCTCACCAATCATCTTCAGAAGAAGCCAACGGAACACAGCTCTTGACTCGTGATGACGGACAGTTGACAACCATGACTTCCTGGCTTCAACTATACGGTTCTTGTCTTCAAAGCGACCAAAGTGCTCCCCAAAATTTAAACAAAAGGAATTAAAATTTTTTCATTAAAAAATGATAGTAATGTAAATTAAATTTTTTTAAAATGTTTTTAATTAAATGAGAGTAGTGTAGTCGAGGAATTGTAGTATTATACAACCTACAGGGCTGAAGATTTTCATCACCAATTCTCCAACTCCCTGCTTTCTTTTCTAATTTTTTATTTTAATCAAAGAAATAACATCATTTGAAGTGAAACACCAGCGGCCCCCGTCCTCGTTGTCCTAGGTCCCTGCCCGAGTCCACATGGAGCTGTTGGAACTGCTTCCTCTATTTGCTTCCTTCTCCCGCGTGATCCGTGCTGAGTGTGGTCTCTCGATGCATCAAGTGCAGGCTTGGCCTCTTGTCGTCTCTCTTTGGGAGATGAGAATTTCAGCCTCCCCGCACCTCCCTTGTCCCTCTCCCAGTCTCCCGACAGAGCTAGATCCATGGTCACTGTTGCCATAAGGAAGGCTGTAGATGTTACTCATTGCTGGGCCAAGTGGGTTACTACGATTACAACGAAAGGCCCGTGATGAGACTGTCCCCAGTATCTACAGATGACATGACACAGGGTCCAGGATTTGCTTTACAATAATCCTGGGGAAGGGACAGGTCAGCATATGGATCAAACAAAATTGACCATGTGCGTTGACAACTGTCGAAGATGGGTGATGGATTCATGAGGGTTTATGACATTATTCTCTTTTTGCAGTTATGTGAAATTTCCTATAATAAAAAAATGTTAATAGTTATGTTAGGGCAACCCTCTGTGTGATACACTCTCAGTCTTCAGATGTCTGGAAAAATCGCTTCTGGGACCTCACTTTGGAAAGTAATTTAGCCCAGTTTCGAACCTTAACTGCACCCACAGTGGAAACATTTTACGCCACAACTCAGTGTGTACACACCACATTTCATCAATTCTATCATGACCACTTTGTGACATTTTGGTATCCGTGAAGGCAGGATGTGTCTCACAAGCAATGACATCTTAGAATGGATGAAATACAGCACACAACAAAGCATCACGAGGACTGCAGACTCTTTGCTGCCCCTCCCATGGCAACGTGTGTCTGACCCCCTGAAGCCTGGGCTGGCTTCAGTGACTTGGTTGACCAAATGAATGTGGCAGATGTGACGTTTGGGGACCTCTGAAGCAAGGTCACGAGAAGCCTTGCAGCTTCCACCTGAGCTTTGTGGAACTCTGGCTCTGAAAGAAACCAGCCACCCAGTGAGGAGACCAACTACCCCGAGACCACCTGCTGTAAGGAAGCCCCACAGACACGCAGAGACTGTGGAGAGTGAGGTCCCCAGGTGCTCCTGCCATCCCAGTGTAGGTGCCACACATGTAAGTGCAGAAGCCGATTTGGACATTCCAGTCCCTGCAGACATGACGGGGAGAAGAAACGAGAAACTCCCCCAACAGTCAGGACCAGGCCCCAGACGTATGGCCCAGTCAGTTCATCCCGGCTATGGCCAACCATCTGAGACGCCCCGGCTGAGGCTCCACCGGAAACAAGGACGAGCCATCCCCACTGTGCCCTTCCAAACTTCTGACCCATGAAATCGTCAGCTCGTGCTGATAAAAGGGTGGTTGTTTTTCACCACTGACTTTTGGTGTGGTTTATCACACAGCAATAGATGTTTGGAACTCTTATGTACGCAAGGCACTCATATTTTCTATTCTTTTCTTTCATATTGTTTTTTCCCCCAGGAAATTGATTTCAGAATCCACTAAAAGGTCACCATCTGTTATGGTGTCTTATCTGTTGCTATGTAAAAATCCACCCCAAAACTTAGTGGGGATAACCAACAATGATTTATTGTTTTTCTTGATTTCGTGGGTCGGCAATCTGGACGATTCTTCTGCTGGTCTTTCCTGGAATCACTCACGTGGTGGCACTCACCTGACGGCTCCACTGGGGCTAGATGGTCCAAGATGGCCTCAGGCTAGTGCCTGGCTGCTACTGCTGGCTGCTCCCTCTCACGTGGCCTCTCTCACACACCTGTAGGCTAGACTGGGCTTCTTCACAGCAGTGTAGTCTCAGGTTCCAAGAGCAGGATCAGAAACTGCGAGGCATCTTAAGGGCTAGACCCCTGAACTCACACAATGTCGTTTCTGCGGCACTCGGTAGATCAGAGCAAGTCACAAGGCCAGTCCAGATTCGAGAGGCTGGAGAAATAGACCCCATTCATCTCTTGATGGAAGGAACAACTGTGTCACTGCTACGGACTGAGTGTGTACCCCACGAAATTCATATGTTGAAACCTAACGCCCAATGTGATGGTATTAGGAGGCGGGGCCTTTGGGAGGTGGGTGGAGACCTCATAAATGGGATTAGCATTCTTATAAAAGAGACCCAGAGAGCTCCCTCACCCCTTCCGGCGTGTGAGGACACAGGGAGAAGTTGGCCATCTGGGAACCATGAAGCCAGACGCTGAATCTCCCAACACCTTGATCTTGGACTTCCAGTCTCTAGAACTGTGACAAATTTCTGTTGTTTAGAAGTCACCCAGGGCCGGCCCCGTGGCTTAGCGGTTAAGAGCACGTGCTCCGCTGCTGGCAGCCCGGGTTCGGATCCCGGGCGCGCACCGACGCACTGCTTGTCTGGCCATGCTGAGGCCGTGTCCCACATACAGCAACTAGAAGGATGTGCAACTATGACATACAACTATCTACTGGGGCTTTGGGGAAAAAAAAAAAAAAAGAAGTCACCCAGTGTATGGTATTCTGTTATAGGGGCCCAAACTGACCAGGACAGTCACATAGCAAAGAGGTGTGGACACGGGAGCATGGGTGACTGGGGCTGTGGTAGACAGCTTGGCTGCCACAGCAAAATACCGCAGACTGGGTGACTTAAAATGACAGACGTTTACTTCTGCTCAGTCCTGGAGGCTGGAAATTCCAAGATCAAGTTGTTGACAGAGTTAGTTTCCTTGAGGCCCCTCTCCTTGGCGTGCAGGCGGCCGTCTTCTCCCTGTGTCCTCACATGGTCGTCCCTCTGTGAGTCCACATCCCTGGTGTCTCTTCCTCTTCTTATAAGGACACCAGTCATACTGGATCAGGGCCCCACCCCTCTGACGTAGTTTAATTACCTTTGTAAAGGCCCTGTCTCCAAATACAGTCACATTCTGAGGTGCTGGGGGATAGGGATGCAATTCAATCCATAACAATGGCCATTATTGTAACATTGGAAACACTGTTTCCACTAAAGATATCAGTCCACTGTCTTCTGACGTCCACCGGGCAGAGAGCAAGTCTGTAGTGGGGGTAAAGGTCTTCTTTTGCAAACCATCTGTCACTTCATTCTGGTAGCTTTTATGATTTTTCTATTTATCCTTGAGAGTCTGCATTTTACTATAACGTTGCAAGGTGTATTTTTATTTTTACTTATCATCCTGGGAATTAGAGAGCACTTTTGATTGGCATACTCCCATCTTTCTTTGCTTACAGAAATTTCTCATCTACAACTTCCTGTTATCAATGCTCCACCCTTCTTTTATTCTCTCCTTGGGAACTCCTGTTCAATACAGACTGGTGTGTCTCAAGTGGTCTTCCATGTGACTTATATGCTGTATCTTATTTTTCATTGCTTGAATCTGTGGCTTATTCTGTGGTCTTCCTCAGCAATAACTTCCAAATCACTAATTTTCTCTTTGACCATGTAAACCTAGAATTAACCTTATCTATTGAGTTTTTCATTTTAATACCCACATTTTTTGTGTTGTATTAGTCAGCTCTGGCTGCCACAACAAAATACAATAGACTGGGTGCTTAAACAACAGGAATTCATTTCTGACAGTTCTGGAGATTGGGAAGTCCAAGATCAAGGTGCTGGCTGATCTGGTTCCCTGGTGAGGACCCTCTTCCTGGCTTGCAGACGGCTGCCTTCTTGCTGTGTCTTCACATGATGGAGGGAGAGAGGAAGCATGGTGTCTCTTCTTATAAGGACACTAATCCCATCTTGAAGGCCCCACTCTCATGACCTCATCTAAACCTAATTACCTCCCAAAGGCCCCATCTCTAAATACCTTCACACTGGGGGGTTCAGGCTTCAACATACAAATTTGGGGGGGGGACACAATTCAGTCCATGGCACATGTGGAAGATTTTAATAATTTTTAATAACTGCCTGTTTTTATTTCTTAATTTTTGAGCTTATTTTATAAATGTTTCTTGTCAATTTGAAATCCTAAATATACATACTCCTATTGCTCTACAACATGAAACTTAACTTTAATAATTCATGTTCTCATTGTTCGCTGTATTGGCTTTCTTGTTTAATATTAGTTTTTAAAATTTGCTTTGGGACTTACACTGTAGGCTCATTGTAAGTGAGAAAGATTTTTTCTTTTTATTTATTGATTTATTTTATTGAGGTAACATTGGTTTATAACAAGTGGGAAGTGTTCTGTTTTGCTTTTTCTCTTCCTCCTCCAGTGTGTGGCCCTGCCTGTCTCCCTGTTCTGCAGTTGTCTCCAAGCTCTCTGTTTTAGGGTGGGCCAAACACCTGTAACAATTTGACTACAAACATAATATCTTAAACACAGGAATTTATTTCTCTCTCATGCAACAGGCCAGGGTGTATGTTCTGGGTCAGGTAGAGGAGGAGAGGATAGTAAGGAGCATCTGTTCCGTTCAGTCTCGCAGGGACTCAGGCTGACAGGCTCTGCGCTCTTCAGCACGTGGCTTGCTAGGTCGCACCTGTCACCTTAATGTGGCTCGCTGAATAATGGCCCCGAGGATGTCCATTTCCCAATCACCAGAACACGTGAACGCTACCTGATATGGCAAAACGGACTCTGCAGACATGATTAAGGATCTTGAGATTATCCTGGATTACCTGGTTAGGTCCTAAATGTAATCACAAGTGTCTTTATAATGGGAAGGCAGTGAGAGATTTCACCACAGAGAGGAAGCAGATGTGATAATAAAAGCATAAGTTTCATGGCCAGCCCCATGGCCGAGTAGTTAAGTTCCATGCGCTGCGCTTCGGTGGCCCTAGTTTGCAGGTTCGGATCCGGGGCACAGACCTACACCACTCGCCAGCCATGCTGTGGGGTTGTCCCACATAGAAAATAGAGGAAGACTGGCACAGGTGTTAGCCCAGGGCTAATCTTCCTCAAGCAAAAAAAACAATTTATAAAAAGAAACATAAGTTTCAGTGATGCAAGGATGGGCCATGAGGCGCAGAATGCAGGTGGCCTGCAGAGGGTAGAAAGGCGACAGATTCTTCCTTAGGGTCTCTCTTTGGCCTTGACTTTGGCCCAATGATACTGATTTCAGACTTCTGTCCTCCAGAACTCCAAGAAATCTGCATTTTTTCAGCCCTGACCTTGGTTGTCATTTGTTTCAGCAGCAACAGGAACGGATCCATCTTGGTCGTCATTCCGGCCCACAGTAAGGGGGAAGACGTGGGTGTTTTAGGGCCGGCCCCAGAAAGCGGTGCATATCATTTCCTCTCACGTTCCATCATGAGAACCTGGCTACCTGGCCGCACCCACCTCCGAGGGACGCTGGGAAATGTTGTGGCACTGGGCAGCCACAGGCCCCGTGAGTCCAGCAGAAGGGCAGGGGGATCCAGTCTCTGCCACACACTCTGAGTTGTTCCGCACTGTGTGCTGTGTGGATACATGGACACAATCCAGGCCCCAAGGCAGGAGCGGGCCTGCTCAGGTCCTGGCCGTGGGCTGTGTGGGTTGTCCTTCCCAGCTGCATTTGCTTTGTCAGCCTTCTGTGACAAGTGTGTGCGCCCCGGCCCAGCAGGCCTGCAGCCTCAGCCCCGCTCACCACTCTGTGTTTCTGTTCACTTTCCGTCCAGAGACACTCAACTTGTTTCTGAGCACGGCTATTCCTTTTTGTTTTTCAAATTTTACATTGTATCTGTAATTGCTACCTGGCCAGCTAGTCCCTGGACAGACTCTCCTAAAACTGTGTGTCAAAGGGGAAATCTGCCCCGCCTGTTCGCCAGGAAGTCACTCTGAAGCACAGTCTGTTCTCCACAGAGCAGCCGGAGGGGTCTGGGTGAGTCCCAGATGCCCATGCCACCTCCTGCTGAAAGTCCCCAGTGAGCGCTGGCTGTCCTTATCTGGGAAACAGAAGCCATCATGCCCACCTCATGGAGAGAAAGCAGATGTGGTGGCCGGGGGGAGCGGGGAACAGGGGTTGACTGCTCATGGGGAGGGTTTCCTTCAGGGGATGACAATGTTCTAAAATTAGGTTGTGGTGACGGTTGTACCACCCTGTGGCTAGACTAAAAACCACGGAACTGTACACTTTAAGTAGGTGTATTATATTTATGTAAATCATATCTCAATAAGATGCTCTTAAAAAATAACTCTCAACTCATAAAGCTGTTTTGAGGGAAAAATGAAATGTCCTGTATTAAAAGGATTGCATTGTACTATAATGGCTATGGGGCTACCTAGTCTCTGCCATACACTCTCCTGAGGGGCAGAAACCATGTGCCCTCAGGCTGTCTCCCCATGTTATTTCCCCTACTTCCAGTTCTGACTGCCCCATTTAACCTCCAAACCCTCAGTCTTCCAGTCACTCAGTCAAGAAACCTCCCTTTGGAGCCTTCTCCAGAGTCGTTTTAATCACCTGGCTTTCGGGTTTGGACTCTTTGTGAACAGATCAGAATTCTGACTTTCAGGGACCGTGGGCACTTCTGCCTTTGTGGGCTCCTTCCTCCATGGGAGAAAAAATTACAATTTACAACAGCATTGGTGTTAAGATGACTACAGTAACGTCACACATATAACATGTATATTTTCTTTCACCTAAATGTTAATCTTTTTCTCCTGATTTTAAAATAAATTAAAAGCTTTCATAAGCCTTTGTGGTGGGCTGAATGGTGGCCCCCAAAAAGATATGTCCACATCCGAATCCCTTGTACCGGAATATTACTTCACATGGTAACAGATGTGATCCAGTTAAAGACTTGAGAAGCTTAGCCTGGATTCTCCAGGTGTGCAGGAAATGCAATCCCGTTTCTCCTTGGAGAGAGAGGCAGTGGGAGTTTGGGACAGACACACAGAGGAGAAGAGAAGGCCATGCGCAGCCAGAGGCAGCGACTGGATGATGCAGCCGCAAGCCAAGGACTGCTGGCAGCCATCAGAAGCTGGAAGAGACAGGAAACCTTTCTCCCCGAGAGGGTCCAGAAGAGACGCAGGTCTACCGACTCCTTGATTTCAGACTTCTGGCCCCCAGACTGTGAGAGAATAAATTTCGGTTGTTCTGAATCCTAGACCATGGTAGTTTGGTACAGCGGCCACTGGAAATGCACACAGCCCTACAGGTATGCCAGGCGCAGGAACTGGGTCACCTGCGCCTCCCAGAGATGTCCCCTCTCATCATCCTGGCCTCTCGCACTGGCCCCTTTGTATTCCGTTAGGACTCCTGGTTAGGACCATGGCAAGGGGCAGCCAGGGAACGTGCCGGCTCGTAGAAGCGAAGGGAGTAAGGAGGACCTGGTCTTGGGGATCAGCAGGCACCACCTGGTCCCGGCTCCTCTGCTCCTGAGGGCTCTCCCCTCACCAAGGGAAGACGAGGCCCTTGGCTGAGCCTCCCTCCTGCCCTCATCTGGGCCTCACTTCCCGGAAAGAATGGAACTTCCAGGTCACCCAGAAGCCTCAGCAAAGTCTCACTGGACCTGGTTGAACCACATGCCTTCTCTGGAGACAATCAGCGTTAGAGGAGTGCAGTGTGCTGATTGGCTGAGGCCTGGGTCGTGGGATGCTCCGTGGAGCCTAGGGTGAGGCTGCCTCCGCAAGTTGGACTGGTGGTCAGGGGAGGAAAGGTGGGGAAACGTGGGGCACAACTGAGGTACCTGCAGTTTTCCCAGTGAAAGAGGGTGCTCTGAATCATTTCCCCCAGACCACAGGTGTGGGTCAGGACTGGGGTCTCGCCCACTTGCTGTGTGGGCGAGGTAGGGCACCCAGCCTCTCTGATCTCCTGCATCTCTGATTAACTGAAATGCACATACCTTACCCGGCCTGCCTGCCTCACGGCTTTCTCTTCCTGTTACGGCCAACTAAGGGCCAAGACTTATTGGGCGCTTCCTGCGTGCCAGGCCCTGGGCTCATCAAACAGCATGCGGTCCTCATGTTACAGCTCCGGGGTGCAGGTGCTAGCTGACAGATGGGGAGACCGAGGCTGGGAAAGGCAGAGTGACTGTCCACTGCCACACAGCTGGTAGATGGTGGAGCTGGGATATGTAGTCAGGTCCTCAGCCTCCAGAGCCTCTGTGCACAACGTCTGTTCCTGTCCTCAGATGAATCAAGTCCTCTATGGAAGATGCCACCAAAGGGAGCCTTCCCTGAGTCCAGCCAGCAACCAGCTTGATACTTGACTGCACACTGTGCTGCACTGTGTGCAGTAATGACAGACGTGAAAACACTTCCATGTGTCCGACCTCGATGTTCCCCTCCTCTCCCCGCTCTGTGCCCTTGCTCGAATTTCTCCCTCTTCCTGGGACGCCTTCCTACCTTTTATGTCTTCATCCTGCTTACTGTGAAAGCCCCAGCTCAAAAGCCACCTCTCCAGCATCACTTCTCGGACCTCACCTTGATGTGCCACAGGCCCCTAAATGTTCCAAGTCCAAAACCGTATTCTTCTTCTCCTCCCTCCATCTTGGTGCGTCTCTCCCCGACCTCTGCCCATTTTCCACATCTCAGCATCTACTTAGATGCTCGGAGCCATCTTTTTGTAATGAAAAATTTCAGACTTTAGAATGGACGAAACTGATTACTGGATATTCTTTCAACAGAATGCTGGAGCCTCTGAGAATCATCTCATTCTATGGGACGTGTGCCTTTGTTTTTGCCTAGACTATTTCATACCGCTGTGGACGTAGAAGTAAACTTGTAGAAAACAGAGAGCGATGCTAATAATTCTTGTCCATAGAGACACAAATTAGCTGTGTCCAGTGACACAGAATTTTCTATTGCCCTATGCATAGACCAGTTTTTGCAAATTCGTTTCAGCATTTCTTTGACTTCTCCTCTTAATAAGTTGTAACACCTTATTGCTTCATTCATTATTAAGTGAAATAAAATCTTTGACATGTGTTCATTTATGCGTGTATGAAAATCATGATTTTTTCTTTTTTAAAAAAATTATCCTTTGACACCTGACATTTCCTTCCCCACCCCACACCCCCAATCCATCCTCAAACCTGACAGTTTAACTTTCTAAATGTCTCTTGTATCTACTCGCTTCTCTCCATCTTACCTGCTACCACCAGTTTGCCTGAATTGGCTGGACTAAGGTCCTCCCTGGCCCTCTTCCCATCCATTCTCCACAGGAGTTAGAGGGATTTCATTACAATTCAGACTTCATGATGTCTCTCCTCCACTTAACTTCCTCCAAGGACTTCCCATTTCTTTTAGAATAAAGACCAAGGTCCCCGCTGTGCCCTGCCAACCTCTACATGACCTGGCCCCACGCCACCACACTGCCCTGCTTCATCACCACACTTCTGCTACACTGAACATCCCTTAGTTCCTCTGTGGCGAGACCTTTCCCATCTCAGGGCCTTTGCACGTGCTGTTTTCTCACCTGGAAAATTCTTCCCTCCTTATCTTGTTTACTTGTATTTGGCCTTCATATCTTGGCACAAATGTTAATTGCTCAAGGAAACCTTTTTTGATCTCCTGGATGAGTTCAGGTCCCACCTTTTCCTCAATATAATTTCATGACACCTTTGACTTCTTCATAGCATTTATCTTGTTTCCTAATTATATATCTCTGTGATTAATGCCTGATTCTCCTTCTAGGCTGCAAGGTCCCTGAAGGCAATGTCCGTGGTTATTCTGCTGACTTTCTTTCTTTCTTTCTTTTTCCTTTTTTTTGGTAAGGAAGATTGGCCCTGAGCTAACATCTGTTGCCAATCTTCCTCTTTTTGCTTGAGGAAGATTGTTGCTGAGCTAACATATGTGCCAATCTTCCTCTATTCTGTATGTGGGATGCCACCACAGCATGGCTTGATGAGTGGTGGGTAGCTCTGCACCCAGGATCTGAACTTGCGAACCCTGGGCTGACGAAGCAAAGCGCGTGAATTTAACCACTACGCCACTGCGCTGCCCCCCATGACCTTCTATCTCTGATGCATATCTGGCATTCTCTGGATGGATGGATGGATGTTTGGGTGGATGAATGGATGATGGATGGATGTACGTATGCGTGGGTGATGGATAGAGGGATAGGTGATGGGTGGATGGAGAATGGATGGATGGATAGATGTGTGGGTGATGTATGTATGTATGTATGTATGATGGAAGGATGGATGGATGCTGGATGAATGAATAGATGATGGGTGGGTGGATGGATGGATAGATGAATGGATGATGGATGGATGGATGGATGAATGGAGGCTGGGTGGAGAAGATGGATGGTGGATGGATTTATGGATGTGTGGGTGATGGAAGATGGATGGATGGATGGATGGATGGTGGATGGATGGATAGATGATGGATGGGTGGATGGATGGATGGATGAATGGAGGCTGGGTGGAGAGATGGATGATGGATGGATGGGTGGAGGAAATGGAGGGCGGATGGGTGGAGAAGATGGATGGTGGATGGATTTATGGATGTGTGGGTGATGGACGATGGATGGATGGATGGATGGTGGATGGATGGATGGATGTGTGGGTGATGGATGACGGATGGATGGACGGAGAATGGAAGGATGGACAGACGTGTGGGTGATAGATGGAGGGATGGACGGGTGGATGATGAAGACGCTCGTCCCTCCAGTTGACTGGCCGTCACAGTCACCTCTCCTAGTCCTCATGGCTCAAGCGCTTGGCACTGGCCACAGGCCTGGCTCACTTTCCTTTCTCTCCCCGGGCCGCGCTATGAATCCTGGAGTACCACCTCGGATCGTCTGCATCTCGGCACACTGTCGCCCGCACACGGTGGGCGCTCCGTCCATCTGTGTATGTATATGCGAATGTGTTCTGTCTAGGCGGGCTTTGCAGGCTCGCTCCCCGGCAGAGCTCGCGCCTGCGCTGGCGGTGGGCGCTGGGCGCTGCCCGTGCACGTGGGCGAGGGAGGCGGCAGCGGGCGGGGACTCAGGGAGCCCGGGCTCGACGCCGCTCCCACCGCGCGCTCTCCCGGAGCTCCCGCGGCCGCAGACCTGCTACCACCAGTTTGCCTGAATTGGCTGGACTAAGGTCCTCCCTGGCCCTCTTCCCATCCATTCTCCACAGGAGTTAGAGGGATTTCATTA